CAAATTGGGTTGGTTGGGGTGTAATACTAATAATAAGTGTTGCCTTTAATTTAATCAATAAAATAAATTGACTTCATTAATTTTTTTGAACCACCTCTTAAGAAAATCTAAAAAATATGAATGGAATGATAAATCACAAGTACAAACTCATCATATTTTTTGCATTTTAGATAGGATTTATTCAGCAAAATTTAAGGGTGACGTCATCAATTTTTTTAGGAGGGATGAACAAATACATTTTGAACAAAAGTTTACCATGCTTATAATAACTTTAAAATATTCCCAAGATTTCAAAGCATTCGGTTTTGTAATTCCTGATTAAATCGATAAAATAAATTCACGCCTTCATTAATTTTTTTCAGTCACCCTGCATATGCAAATCCAAAAATATGAATGGAATGATAAATCACAAGTACAGACTCATCATATTTTGTACATTTTAGATGCGATTTATTCGGAAAACTTTTGAGCTGACGTCATCAGTTTTTTGTAGAAGATAACCAAATATATTTTGACTAAAAATTTATTATGCTCTTTATAACCTTAAAACATCTGCAAGATTTCAAAGCATTCGGTTTTGTACTTCCTGATTAAATCAATAAAATAAATTTACGCATTCATTAATTTTTTTGAGTCACTCTGTATATGCAAATCCAAAAAATATGAATGGAGTGATAAATGACAAGTACAGGCTCATCATATTTTGTACATTTTAGATATGATTTATTCGGCAAACTTTCGAGCTGACGTCATCAAGTTTTTGGAGGGGATAAGCAAATATATTTTGACTAAACATTTATTATGCTCTTTATGACCTTAAAACATCTGCAAGATTTCAGAGCATTCGGTTTTGTAGTTCCTGATTAAATCAATAAAATATATTTACGCATTCATTAATTTTTTTGAGTCACCCTGTATATGCAAATCCAAAAAATATTAATGGAGTGATAGTTCACAAGTACAGACTCATCATATTTTGTACATTTTAGATATGATTTATTCCACAAACTTTTGAGCTGACGTCATCAAGTTTTTGGAGGGGATAAGCAAATATTTTTTGACTAAAGATTTATGATGCTCTTTATAGCCTTAAAACATCTGCAACATTTCAAAGCATTCTGGTTAGCAGATTAAAAATTAAATTTCAAAATGTTGTTTTATAATTTTGATTTTTTTTCCAAAAATCTGGACGTTTCGGGTGAAAAGTCGATTCAGAGTTGTAAACTACATGTGTAGGACTATGTTATTTTATACAATTGAAAACCCATTTACTATGTACAATTTTGAAGTGACGTCATCGCTTTAGTGGTGGGGATGATTCGACAAATTTTGGTTAGCGTTTTACCATCTACATGATATTCTTAATATAAGTACAAAATTTCACAACAATCGGTCGAGTACTTTCGGAGATTATCTGTCTAATAAAAATCCGTGACAACAGACGGACAGACGGACAGACGGACAGACGGACAGACGGACAGACGGACAGACGGACAGACGGACAGACAGACGGAAATGGGAGACCTATTTCTTCGTCTTCTAGGGGTCATGAAAGATCGAGAAAACGTAAAAGTAGAGAGTCGGCCGACGGACTCGATTACAATACTTCCTTTGCTTACGCTCGGGAAGTAAAAAATTAGATAAAAGTTGTTTCTACAGAACTTCCCTCACTTACACTCTGGAAGAAAAAATGATTTAAGTTTATTTAGACAGAACTTACTGCGCCCCTGAAGTACAGTTGAACAATACAGTTTCTTGGAAGAGTTACAAAATTGAATTGTTTTACAAAAAACATTTTACATATTCCTGATAGCTTGTCCTGTTATTTGTAAAATCGATTAAAAATATTATTCAATACATCCCTTATCAAGAGTGGATAATAGATAAATATTATAAACATGCTAATCGCAGATAACATGATCGCACAACAAGAGGTATTCTATATATTTTGAAGGTAAATATTTACAAACAAAAATTATAAATATATTTATAAACAAACTTTATAAATACATGTATGGATACTTATAAATTAATTATTATTAAAAAATATTTACAAAATATTAAAAAAAAAGTCATAAATGAATGGAAAAATATGGAATATTTTCAAATTTTCACTTTTTTTTTTAATATAACGATTTAAATTTAAATTCGGGTTATATGGTGGCATAACCAAATAATCAATATTTGACCTTTGGTTATACAGCGTTCTGTAACACTGTAACCTATAACGCATTTCGGATTATTTTGTTCCACATATTTAATATGAGATTTTAAATTGACCTATCCGTGGGGTTTTGCTCTGTACTAAATGTCGAGCATAGAAAATTGAAATTCAGAAATTATCCTCGTAATTCCAATCAATGACATTTTGACATTCTAACAAGTCAGCAAAGTAGCACAAAATTAGTGGGTTTAGTGGTGTCTTTGCAACAATATAGCATTTTGTTTCGGGGTTAAGCTTGAAGTGTCATGTAGAGGCGATCATAAACTCCGGTATATATACAAGCACAAACTCGTATCTCGTTACACTGGTACCTAGAGTACTTTAATTCCTCGCCTTAGCTCCGGTCCAAAATGACAAGAGCAGGGATAGTAAAATTCATATAAATTTTATCTGTCCCTTTTAAGTTTTAAATTACACGTTTATAATCTGTGGAAATAGATACATATTTATGTGAAAATTAATATCACTGAAAGCAGACGTGTAGTAAGTAAAAAGTTAGACCACCACAGAACTTCGTTTTGCAAAAAATAAATAAAAATAAAAACAGGATACAACTTTGTAAAATTTGATTCAAATAAATTATAACAATATTAGGTATGGTATAATTTATTAAAACATGATATTGGTATAGTCTTGGTGCCTTTAGTTTTGCAGAACTTATAACATTTTGTAGTCACATGAGTATTTTTTAAATTTTTAAAATAATTTTTACGTTTCAAAATGAGTTAGTTCAATACGTTCTCGCACTAAATAAGTATAATTAGAGTCAAATAGATATACAAAACTCACTTGACATACACCTTGTAAAACTTTTATGACTTAAGCGGCTTAAGCCAAAGCACACTTGTATTGTAAGTCAAACTGGCTATTGTATAACTTAACTCAGTTCACATATATAGTCGCCTCACCACTTTAAGAAACTTTGACCACAGTTATAATACATAACGACAAAGAAACCCATTGGATTTAAATACTTTACCACAGTACGTAGTTTAGGCTAAATACCTCCCTCTGATAACGTTAATGCACCCCATCTTTTTATACCTCCTTTATGTGTATAATAAGATCTTTGATCATTCTTGAACACTATTATTACTATCAAATTTAATTTAATTTAATTAAAGATCCTCTGCAGTGAGGTCGTACTCGTACTGGCACTTGAGGAATAGAAATATATAAATATTATTCAACAAATAAAGCAGGTAGAAAAGGATGGGGGTCCATTAATGTTATCAGAGGGAGGTATTTAGAAGAAAAAGAAGAAATTCGAGAAAAAGAAGAAATTTTGAAAAAGAAGAAATTTTGAAAAAGAAGAAGTTTCCATGGATGTTATTTCCACAGAAGATATTTCTAAAGAAAATTTGCAGAAACAGTGATATCTGGCGTAATAAGTAGTAATACAAATTGCGTGTTTAATTTTTTTACTTGTTCGCACCTAAATTCTGCTTTTAAATTAGAATAATTTTGCCTTATATAATTTAAGATTTTCATTGTTAAAAAAAATTGCAAACCTTGCTGAATCCTTTTTGAAACTTTTAACGTGTCCTTATTTAATTAGTTGTATGCAGCCTTACCTATGTTTAGCAAAATTCTGTTTCTGTTTGTTGAAATCACAAAAGTGAAGTTTGTAAAAAAATTACTCAAATGACCGTAAAACCAGCCATTGCCTATTAATTTTTGGGGTTCATTATACGATCATGTAAAGCATTTTGTGATTTAGGTATTGTTAAGCAACTGTTTTATGCTTTTGTAATGAGTAAAATAAAAACCAAAAGCTACTGTTAATTATTTAGTTGCTTTGCATGCCGCCCCTGCCGCACCTCAAAAGATCCAAGGAAGTAGGTGGAACGGCGCTCTTTGGGTCGGCTCGCTCCTTTTAAAGGATTGGCGATCTTTGTAGTGTTCGTTTGCGACTTCTACTACTATCTGAGGGGAACCGGATTAGCCCCCTCTTAATGTTCCCCATAATATGTTTTTATTTGTTAAAATGAAGTAAGTAGTGATGTAACAACGGCAGAGTGAGGAATAAACAACAAAAGAAACACACTATTTCATTTATTCCTCTCGAGTCATCTCAAAATACGGCTGGAAAAAGCTCCAGTCGTCAACAACTACAACAAATGCAAGCATTAAATGATAAGTACAAGTGCAGCCCAGAAAATAAAATCATGGTGAAAATTAGATCAGATGCTCATGAAAACAACCAAGTCTTCACGTTGTATCAAGTATTAAATTGTATTGTATTGTAACGAACGTCGACAATGGTCTGAGCTGACAGTATGTTTCTGTCTCATGTGAGGTAGGCCAGCTGTGAAAGGATATATTCCAGGAAATTGACGGGGTACAGCATCTTCAGAATTATATTTTATATTATTAACGGTAACTTTGGAACTTTATTTAAATACTAGAAACATTCTAAAATTAAAATGTTACAAATTAGAGTAAATAACAGATGTCAGAGATGTAAAAATTATTTTACATATGTTACGAAATAAACCCATACGGCTATGGGTTCTCGTATGTACGTCACCGATGACTCATTGTCGGCAACGGCGGCCGGAGAAGAGCTTGGAAGCGGAAGTCGCGAGTGGGTGTTCCAAAGAAGCCTAGAAGCGGTGACGCAGACGTTTCGAGAAGGACAACGTGGTGTTTAAATGGGAACTACCGTCGGGAGCAGTTAGTGTAGTCCAGGCAACGAGAGCTGAATTCAGTTAACTAGTCGAGTCCAACGAGTGTCGAGAAAACCCAGCCAGGTTACGCTGGAATTGTTTTGTACATAATCGCTCTGTAATTAATCGGTAAATCCGAGTTACTAAGAACTAAATTATTGAGTTTAACCCATGCCGATTTTATTCACCAATCAACGTAACAGTATTATTACAGACATTATACTTTCACAAAATCATGACAGCTTACTTGGTATTAAAACTTAGTAGTTTCGCTTCTATAAACTGACCTTATTATAAAATTTACCCTGCTTCGGTTGTGGATGAGCTGATGTGAAAAACCGTCCAGACCTGTCATGAAAATGACTTTTTTCAATGTCTACTTCGCTGAAATGTAATTCACACATCTAAAAGATAATATGCATTAACTGACAATCTGTATTTTAATAATTATATAATAATAACTTACTCTTGAGTTACCAGAAGGTTCAACATTTAGGTATTCTGTTTATTGTGGCCAACCATTTTTTTTAAATAATCTTCCGACTTACGAAAAGTAAATGTTGATATCTGCGCCCATTTTTGTGATTGCCTGTACAGTTGATGGTCTAAAATTGATTGACAATTAACGGGTAATTGGCGTCAAAGTACTAAAATTTTGATTTTTCTCAAAATTAAAAAAAACAATGAAATTAAAAATTAAATTCGGGTCGAATGAGGAAGCGGTAGTTAATAAAGTTGTGCTTTTTAAAAATACGTAGTACCTAATCGGTAGACGGCGCTAGGAACTTCCCATGGCCTTCTAAGATCTTTTCGAAAAAAGACCATTTTGCAGTCATCTGTCATAGTTTGTTACCCTGCCAAATTATATTATAGGTATACCTGTAATTCAATCTGCACCTGACACCACTATGGTAGCACGACTATGAATCCATTGAGGTTTTTCATTTCTCTTGCTAAAATTGTGGTAATTAACACCACAATAAATAATATGATAGATTGTGTAATCATTAAATTTCAGACATTGTCACGTTCTTCCAGTCCCCTACACTGTTTCTACGATTTCCGTATTCCGGAGAACTCCGGTCCAGGATGGACATTCACTAATCCAACACCTCGGTCCGCTGCCATCTTCGCTCCTTGGGCATGGCATTAACTCCGGTTCGGCAAATATATGCGTACATGATTCTAATTACATACGCTTATTTAATGCGGGAACATTCAATTCATTTTGAATTAGGAAGCGAAGTACCTTAAAAATTATTTTAATAATTGATTATTTGAACAATATTAGCATTCATGGATTTATAAAATTTATTATACATTATAGCATAATAATGTTATAGTTATTTATATTTTATATAATAGTTATTTATATGAAATCACAGCGTGATTTGTGATTTCTCTAATGCTGTGAGTAAAGATCTAAATAATGCCAAGCAATCCTATGAAAACTCGATAATAAAAAGAGGAACTAAAGCTGTATATAAATACACAAAACGTAAACTTTGCTCTAAAGCTTCTTTGCCAATTTTGAAAAATAATAGCGGTCAATACTGTAAAAGAAACTCTAAAGCTGCTGAACTCTTAGCACAATTTTTTGAAAGTACATTTATAGCAGTGAAAGTCTGTGCAACTTCCCTAAGTCACCATTAGCCAATTGTGCAACCACTTAATATTAATAATAATAATAATAATTTTTCAAAACTGTATCTAGAAGTGCGGTTTTCATAATCTTGCAAAATTTTTTGCTGTATAAAATTCTGCCGTTGCCGACTTGTTCACTTATTATCCGTCTACTGTCTGACCTAAATATTTAGTTTGATGTTCGTTTTTATTTGATTGTCTTCCGTCGTTACGTTTGTCAACTGAAATTGTGCTAATTTTTGAACAAAAAGTTTAAGTAAATACATACCTATTTCTCTGAAGAAACAAACCTTGTATGTTTACCAACGGTAAAAATTAATTTTCCGCATGACATAAAAACGTTTAGTTTTGGAATTATTTGATAGTAGGTATAACATATGTATATTTATTTAGGGATTTTATTTAACTCATTGATTTCAACGTTTTGTTAATGCATCATCATATTGTTATTATTATTATTATTATTATTATTAGATTGAGATATTGCTACGAAGTAACCCATACGCCGCCCCGGTACGACGCCCATGGGTTTTTAATATTTGTGACCGACTTGTAAATCATCATGACCAACAGCGGCGCTCGAATAAAGAAAAGCCTGGAAGCGGAATTCGCGATGGACACTCCAGACCTCCATCGCGAAATATCTACTTACAAAGAAGCGCGTGGTTGTTTAAATGGGGACCACTTCCGGGAATGCGTAGTCCAGTCCAGTCAATGAGAAAATTTGAGTCTACTCAAATCCATTCCAGTTGAGTCGGAATTATTCTGTATATAATCCAAGTTTATTTATTAGAGTATAATTAAATGACTTTAACATAATCGTTGTATAGTTAGTCTGTAAATTAATATTACTGAGAAATAAATTGTTGAGTTTTATCCACGTCGATTTTAGACACCCGTAAATCGTAACAACATATATAAATTTTAGGAGTCATATTTTTTAAAATTGTATTTTTCTGTTCTTAACAAACGACTCCACGGAATCTTCCTTACCAAATTGATTGAGTATGATTTTTTTTTCGTGCTGCCAAGTTAACCTGAACAATAAACAATCTACACCATATACCCAAATTCCAGATTGTTAAATTGATAAGTGATAGTTATCACTTTATCAGTTTAGCTAGCTGCCGCTTGAGTGGTTTAATTAAATTTTCCTTAGTTTATGGTCATCTTTCTTAGTGTTTAGTAGTGAGTCACATAGTTAGACAGATATTCCCATATACATTCAGTGTTTGTTTATGTACATACCACCTAGTCGTGCAGTCACAATGAACCCAGGTGATAACAGGTAAACAAAAATATCAGAAGATTATACCATAGATTAATGTAGATGCGACATACAGGCTGATTTTGCAAAACAACCCTTATTGACATTGGAATCCTCAACCGCCAAAGGCAAGCGCCAAATTTAAATAGTCGATACCAATAAAAGCCTTGTTTCACTATAATTGTAATTCGTGTGACTTGAATGAAAATGAAGGAAACAGTAAGCAGCTTGTAATATTCTGGTAAATCTAGTGTCAATTTGTCGAAAGTAAAACGCGTCGTTAAAAATATTATGACATTTCATCTAGTTAATTTTATTTCTAGTTAGAAACAAACACTGCTGCCAACATAAATTGAGGAGTCCTCAACCGTTATTTGATTTAAACTATGACGCTTCTCTATGTTCTCTGGTTATACGGTACGTATCTCGAATCAATTTGTTCCCATTTATTTAATCTACGAGGGTGAGGTGATTAATGCCGGGCCTGAACAGGAACGCATTTTTTTTCGGTTAATTTTTATTTCTCAACATAAACTCCATTTAGCTCGCTACATTTAACCCAGCGATCTTCTAGATCGATTACACCGGGGATAATACAACGATTTATAGAGATCTTCAAAATAACTATTTACTGCTTCGATATTGTCATAAACCTCTTACAACCCAACCACTTTTTGAGGTTTGGGAAAGGTGGAAGTCACATCGGGTTAAATCGGGTGTGTAGGGAGGGTAGGGTAGCAATTCAAATTTTAATTCATGAATTGTAGCCATCGCAATGACTGAAGTATGGATTGGTGCATTGTCCTGATGAAACAGCACGTTCTTTTTTCGCTAAATGTGGTCGTTTTCCCAAAAGATAGTGGCCATAACCTTACGGGCCGATGCAACTGTCTTCGCATTCTTCTGAGCAGGTTCTCTTTTTTTGGTCCCCTATCTCGACTACTGTTTTGTCTCGGGGGTGTAATGATGGACCCATGTTTCATCAACAGTAATAAATCGATGCAAAAATTCAGTTGGATTACGCCTGTAGTGTGCCAAACAATCAGCCGAAACATACTTACGACCTTAGATCATATAATAAATAGATACCAATACTCAAACTGAAAGCTGTGACTAGACATGAAGCTATCTGTTGTCGTTTTCTACGTCAAGGGGAGTAGTATAATGCTATCCTTGTGTGATCACCACATCTTCATCTTTGTTATATGCATTTCATCTGTATATGTCTATTTCACTTCCATCCTTGTACCGCACCAGCGCAACAAATAGCTTTTGACCTCTCTTTCGAGTTGTTGTACAAAAAACAATTTTAGAATTTAGAACAAAGATCCTATTTTAAGTGATGTAGTCATAAAGGATCACAATTGCTGCCCAATAATTTACTATTCCTTTCGTTATCTACTGTGAATTATTTATAAAATCAAGCTGTCAACATCTTTCTTCCGAAGTTAGTTCAGACATACTTCCTAAAATTTAGGCGCGCAAAATTCAAATAGTGATCAGGCAAGGATAGCTTCATTGTAATCCCTCCATGCACGAGAGAGATGTGTGACAGGAGGATGTCGTCACAGGCTGTCCTAGGGAAAGAACACGGCATGGTGGTATCTATTTATTATATGATCTAAGCTTACGACGCTGTTTTTGGTTTGGAGCGAGCAAACGGGGCACCCACGTTGCGCAAAGCTTTCTCGCTATTAATTGTTCATGTAAAATATTTAGAATACGCTCTGTTGTGATCTTTACTCATTCTGCCACCTCTCTCACCTTCACTCTGCGGTCAGCCAAGACGATTTTATGATTTTTGTCCTTTAATTTCTGGCGTGGTCACCTCAACAGGGCGCCTACTGCTTGGTTCATTATTTGTGCTGATTCGGCCCATTTTCAATTTAATAACCCATCACTTAATTGTTGTATGCAATGGAGACCCCTATCCCAATGTTGTACCTAACTCTTTTTTGATCTCACTTGCTTTTAGGCCTTTAAAAAAAAAATAAATATATTTAACCACTGCCCGAATTTCCACATTTTCCATTTTGTTAGAATTGTTTGATGTATCTAATCTGAAGGACTGCCATCAAAATACTAAATAACATATTGACATGAAATTTTTAAGGAAAGCTGATGGAGGATCATCTATGTGAGTCCCGGTACTTGTCACCTCACCCTCGTATATTTGATCCCCTAGTATATACTGTTTGATGGATAATAACTGCAACCTTCTTAATACTTAACAGGCCAATATTAGTTGTAGAAAGTGTTCAGTTCCAAAAGTCGTACGAGGCTTGAGAACCCTCGAATTTCTGTTACCACTGTTATTCAGTGGCTCACCCAGAAATAGTTTGGGGGGAGAGCTTAGATCATATATACATTTTATACACATAATGTGATTTCAGTATGTGAGGATGAACATAAAGAAAATATAGGACAATATAAACTAGGAAAATATTCACAAATTCAACGTTAACTAAAATAACAGAATATTTTTCTAATATATTTTTAGACATATAGATGTTTCAAATTGGTACATCTAGTTTTCTAGTAGCAGCTAGCAGCCCTTAATTTATCTAAAATTAGAAGGGTGCATACATAACTAGTTACAAGTTGGATAAGCATGCGTGTGTTACTTCCCCTCGCCTCCACACATTTCAAGTATGCATGTTGAAGCTAACGTCAGTTTGCTGCCTTTTACCGCTTTTACCCTTGTCCGTACAAAAAGCTACCTACTAAAATAAATAAATTTTATACAAATACTAAATAAAAAGAATTTTATTTTATATAGCAAATGAGAATACGGCAATTATTTTATCGCTATGTTCCAAATATTGTCATCTACATAAATTTATAAAAATCATCACTGTTGACATTTTTTTCAATTTGATTTTTATTTAAAGAAAGAACACTTACTAATTAATCTATTCACGAAATTTTATTTTTCAGGTTCTTAAACTTAGAGAACTTGCACGGACAAAATTGAGCTGGGCGAAGACCTGTGCTATACATGCCTGTACATACTTTATACACACGCTCAATCATTTTGGTTTGGAAAATATTGCACAAGCTGCATAACTGACATTCAGTCGCGTCTCAAATTGGTCAAATGGTTAAAATGCGTCCGCAAAATTCTCCAACAGACAGTCAATCAAGCTTGTACAAAAAGTTTGTACATATATGCTTGTCAAGCTTTTTGTTACGTGTGCATCCTCCTACCACTAACCATTCAATCTGTTTTGGTCAATACTCTTTCTTAAATAATTTTTCAAGTATTTAAATAATGAAAATGATCGTTCGGTAGTAGTATGCACAGTTATGCTCACATAAATTCCGTACAATCTTATTTTTACGTTGTGTGGTGTGGAAATCAATACAAAATCAATAGCATAGATACAAAATCAGATTGTCATCTAATTATTAGCGATTATTTGAGCATGACTGTACTTGTTTTCATGGAAAAATTACAAAAATTTTTGGTAAACTTTTTATGTTGAGAAAAAAATGTTTCATTACTAGAATACGAATCTTTTCGCAACAGCAGAGCAATAAACTTGTGCACATTTCATGACCAGTATTGGTTCGGGCGAGTTCAATTTAAGAGTGGTGAAAAGCATGGGGCGAAATTTTTATAAATAATTGAGATATGTATTATAATTCAGCTTTAATTTCGGCTGACAGAATTGGCGTCATAAGGAAACATCTTGCATTGTATAAATTATTGTTATGTGCAATTAATACTTAAGGGTTTAGGCATTTTCTTGTACTTTTCTTATCTTATTATAATATAGTTATCCTCATTTAATGGCCACAATAAAGACATACAATTTGATAGTGTTAAAGTAAAAATTAATGATAATATCCCAGTTAAAACTTCGCGGGATATATGAGAACAAATAGAGATATTGAAATTTTGTAAACTCCCAGGACTACCACCATTTTACGACAGTTTGAACACATCCTAAAATAACTGCTTTTGAAATGGACCTTGTTGGTTCTAAAATAAAGTATGAATGCTTTATTTCAGTCATTTTTTTGTTATGAAAGTGTGAGATGGTGTGAAACAATATCAAATAATTGGATACTGTTTCCAACAAAACAGTTTTGAAGAAAATTAATTAGAATATTTTGACATATTAGAAATAAAATTCAATTCAATTTTATTTATTTATTATCATTAAGTATTCTACAATTTGATGACAAGGATTAAAAAGAAATTTGTTGTATACTAAAAGAGAATCATTTTTGAGAAATGCTAAGAAGACAAATTAATATTGACGCCGAGAACACAATTGAGGAAAGTTTTGTCGAAAAATCAACAAAAGATGCGATACTATTGGAAGTATCGACAGGAACAGCAGATCGTAAATTGGTAGGTTTGTGGTGAAGCAAATCATAATTTTGCAAAATGTTGAATTAATTGCTTTGATGCATTTACAATATTAATCAAAAGGAAAAGTCACAACAATTATTACATGAATTTGAGGCCCTATTTTCAGACAATTTGGATTGTTATAAACACGAAAAGATTTCAATTAAAATACCAAATGACGTAAGGGATATTTTTTGCAAATTAAGGAGCGTTCCTTATGCTTTTAAGGAACTATTAAAAAAAGAAGTAGATAAACTACGAGTAGAAATAAATATAAATAATAAATTTATAGAAGATGTTCATTAACGTTTTCCGAAAGTTGAAGAACTTTTGGCATCTTTGCAAGGGAGGTAGTATTTTAATAAATTAGATTTGGGTCAAGCTTATAATCAGTTACAAGATTCATGGCAATTGTTGTGACGATTGTTTTGATTCTTGGTAACGTGTAAAACGCGTTTGTTCCTGGGAATATGGTTTACATTTTTGTAAGACGAAGTAAACTTTGACTTTTCGTTAAACTGTGATTTATGTAACTGAATGGAGTGGACTCTAACATTTGAAATGATATACAGGTGTTCATTTTATTCGTTCACGCCTGACAATTTTGCATAGGCAACATATTATACACCTCAGAGACGATTTCGTTCAATTTAATTTTTTTTAATAAGCCATTATAACAATCACAGAAAAAAAATGACAAAGATGTCAATGCCAAATAATGACAAAATTGAAAAAATTAATACTCGATTTATTAATGGATCAGATTACAACGAAAACGAATTTATAATAAATGTTCAAAATGCCTGCCTCTACTATCTTCACAAAGTCCTATCCTACGTTCAAAATTTCTACGAACTCTATCTAACATGTCGGGAGTTATAGATCTGCAAGACGCTATTATCCTTTCACGTAAGTGGTTTTCATTTTCGATCGGGACTAACCGGAGGATTAACGACAAAAATTGAAAATTGGTAGGAATTATTTAGCTAGAGTTATCCACAAGTTGATCATGAAATTCATGTTCATGAGTCAGTGCGAGAGGGATTGCTTATGGCATCATGATGAGCACCCGAGCAAGGGAGTAGCGTGAGCACAAGTCTATTGGACAAATGGGCAACATGGAAAAAGCAGAGATTTTCAATCACTTGCGGTTATATATTTACAAAGACACACGTTTCTAAATAGCAAATATTAATCTCAAAAACCCGTTACATACGTACTTCTAAAACAGGCGTCTGTTTTTTTCTGTATCGCACCCAACAGTATGCAGCAGCAGCTTGTAACGTGTAGGTTGGCGTTTCACTCCATAATTTTTAACTGATAACGCAATAGACACCGAGTAGACGGATTTCAAGTCAAAGGTTTAGTGATAAATTGATAATGATAAGATCGATAAGTAGATTACAAACACTACTCTAGGGTTACGTTTCTTTTTTTCCATTCATGAAGTCTGAGTACCTATGCGACAAGCGTAAAACGTAGCCGTGTCGTCACGATAGTGGAAAAATTTGACCGACAGACGCATTCGCACCTAGTTCTCAAATGGGAAACATTCTGCAAACGGTGAAACATTTTACTTAATTCGTTCTGTTTCTCCTGAATTCATTACTAATTCTTAAACGAAAATGAATGTTGTCGAAGGCGCCACCACAGTTTCCCCATAACCCATAAGTGTAATTAATTACACAGGTATGAAAAATTTAAATGTTAAAGACCTGTAGGGTTCCATGTTGTTGAAGATCACGTTCATGGCCATTTTTGTGCGCATGGCTTAGTTTTGAAGTGTTTTCTTGTACTTTTAAGCCACTCAGATACCCTACGGGCTCGAAAAGTGCAACGAAACCATCAAATTTTAGCTAGAAACTGTATTTTTGTCGATTTTTATTGAATTTGAACTATATTTGAACGTTTTTTTGATGGTTCTGAGCCACCAAACACACTTAAAGCATGCAGAATCGACTCAGAATAGGAAAAGGAGACGTTTAGGTCAATTTTATGCATTCTGGCGTTCGTAGATACAAGAAAACTGTTAAAATTCTTCAGAAACGTCACTTTTGAAGTGTTTTCTTGTACTTTTAAGCCACTCAGATACCCTACGGGCTCGAAAAGTTCAACGAAACCATCAAATTTTAGCTAGAAACTGTATTTTTGTCGATTTTTATTGAATTTGAACTATATTTCAACGTTTTTTGATGGTTCTGAGCCACCAAACACACTTAAAGCATGCAGAATCGACTCAGAATAGGAAAAGGAGACGTTTAGGTCAATTTTATGCATTCTGGCGTTCGTAGATACAAGAAAACTGTTAAAATTCTTCAGAAACGTCATTTTTGAAGTGTTTTCTTGTACTTTTAAGCCACTCAGATACCTTACGGGCTCGGAAAGTGCAACGAAACCATCAAATTTTAGCTAGAAACTGTATTTTTGTCGATTTTTATTGAATTTGAACTATATTTCAACGTGGCAGGATGTTTGGGTTGTCATAGCCTGCATATTCATTTTTAAGCCCAGACGCAAAAAGAGGAACAACTTCGACTCCTTTGTTTCTCACTGTGTCTATCTGTGGCACCGTAGCTCCCAAACGAATGAACCGATTTAATCGTGAAAGTTCTTAAAAGGGCAGTTTGACGAATAACTTAGTTCGCATAGTCTCGGAGGGCGAAAGAAAACAAGTGTAAAATTTAAAAACCCCAGAGTTCCAGGCAGAAAGAAATTAACAACCCTTAATAGTCTGAAACTGGTTAAGACAGCTGATTCCTTCACGATTGCATTGCATCCATCGCTCAAAACCCTATTAAGAATTTTGTCTATCATTTCTGGTACAGTGGACGTAAACATTTTGTGCGTTTATGGCTTCACACCAATTTAAATCCCATTATAATTCAATAGGGCGTCACAGCCGGATGTCTTAAACCCACTTACTGATAACCTACCTGAAAAGAGGTTTTTTGAGAAAAGCACAGGGTAGTATTGTCTCGGCCATCCCTGACACGTGCCATGGTTTGCATTTGCTAAGTTTTATGAAGGATCGGCTGTAAAGTACTTTAAACGTCAAAGCCATAAACGCACAATATGTTTACGTTCAGTGTATGATGGCAGTTTTTGGTTCCCCAGAACATATTGCGTCTTCAACGAATGTTCTCCCGCGCTTGAACTCATTAACCCAAAGGCGATGGCTTCATAAGAAGAATATGATTCGCCCAATGTAGGAAAAGTCCTTTCATGGACTTCTTTCGCAATTTTCCCTTCCAAAAGGGAGAACAGAATCACATTACAAATTGCAATTTTCTTCTTTTTTACATAAAAATCACTCGACACACTAGTATTCAACGAAGAATTACTGACAGAATAATTTCGCATTATAGAAACATCATCTATGGAAAGCCTACTTGAAGCCTGTCTATGCCGTTACTGTTTTTTCTTCTTTCACCCTACAAGACCATGCGAACCGAGTTATTCATCAAACCACCCTCCTAAGAACCTCCCCGATTGGCTTTCAAACAAAAAAAACCGCATTGAAATCGGTTTGTGGCGTTGCTGTGATGTTAATGTAGGCAACACAACGCACACGTACTACTTCCTCTCGCCTACGAGTAGGCAACTCAATATGCTCACCGAACACCACTCGTGATTGGTTAGCCTGGCGCCGACGCAGAGACCAACTGGGGACACAAGGAGGCGCGAGTACGGCAAGTACTCTCTTCTGCCGCCGACATCGAAACGAAGAAGATGGGTACCGTCTCCTGTTCCACGTGTAAGATATCCGTTTGTAAATAAACTATAGAGAAACCCTACCTGGTGTTAGTCATTTCCACATTGGTGACCCCGGAAAGAAAATAGGAAGAGCTAGCACCATGGAAGAAATGCAAAAGAAACTGCAGGAACAACAAGAAATAATTTGCCAGTTCCAGACACAACTGGCTACCATCTCCAACAAACAAGCCCTTGATGAGGTAAGAAGTGGTTCAAATCTGAAGCTACCGACATTCTGGCAGCGAGACCCGGTGCTTTGGTTTGCACAAGTCGAAGCCCAATTTAATTGCGCGAGAATCAGGTCCGACCAGACCAAGTACTGGACCGTGGTAACCGCCTTAGACTGCGCGACGCTCCAGCCGGTTGCCGATTTGGTCGCCAACCCCCCAACAGAAGAGACAAAGTACGAAAGCATAAAATCCAGATTGATCGCCGCCTATGCAGACACCCCCGAAAAACGACTACGGAAGCTCATGTACGAAATAGAGTTAGAGGACAAGCAGCCGTCACAACTACTAAGAGAAATGGAAGCCCTAGCGGGTAAGGGGATCAGCGGTGACGTCCTCAAGACTCTGTGGTTGCAGCGTTTACCCCCACAACTACAGATGATCCTCGCCGCAAATGATAAAGAAACGCTGGACAAAATGGCGACCATAGCGGACAAATTGACCGAAATCCACCATACCAGCGCCATCACAGCAAATATTGGTGCCCTAAATCGCGGTACCTCCGCGCACGCCTCTCAAACCGTTACATCGGCGCAAGAAGATGGAATGGCTGCCGCCATTACGGCACTGCAGAAGCAGTTCGTAACTTTATCGACCACAGTAAACCAACTCGCAGACGACAGAAGGCGCCATGGGCAAGGCGAAAACTGGAATCGCGCCAAATTTAGGTCAAGGTCGAATCCGCAGGACGATAATATCTGCTATTATCACAATCGGTTCGGAGCAAACGCCAGAAGATGCGCCAAACCCTGTGACTACAAAAGGCCGTTAAACTAGAGGCGCCGTCGACGATTGAGGTGGTCCACGACGCAGCGCAAACACAACGCCTCTTCATCACCGACCCAAAATCAGGTACCCGATATTTAATCGACACGGGGGCAGAAGTTTCCGTGTTACCCAAGAGATTGTTCTCAGGCAGACAACATCTCAGCCCAGCTGAGACAACGCTCTTCGCGGCCAACGACAGCGCGATCAGAACATACGGCCAAAAGCTAATGTTCCTTGATCTCAAGCTGAAACGTCCGTTCAAGTGGGTATTTATAGTGGCAGACGTAGGCAAACCCATCATCGGAGCAGACTTCCTGAGGCATCACAACCTCCTACCTGATCTCCGCAACCGACGCCTCGTAGACGCAGCCACCCTCTTATCAACTCGCGGAACCCTGGCTATATGCAAGTCGCCTCAGATCACGACAGTGGCCAAGACGACGCCATATCACGCACTGCTAGCGGATTTCGCAGAAATTACACGCCCACCGCCACCTGGAACGAAGCACAGGGGCAACGTGTTCCACCACATCATCACCAGAGGTCCCCCGGTCGCAGAAGCTCCTCGCAGGCTTGCACCCGAGAAGTTGAGAGTGGCGAAAGCCGAATTCCAATATATGATGGAACAGGGCTGGTGCCGACCATCCAAGAGCCCTTGGGCTAGTCCGCTTCACCTTGTCCCAAAGAAACTCCCTGGTGAATGGCGTCCATGTGGCGACTATAGGCGCCTAAACAACGTGACAGTGCCTGACAGCTACCCCATCCCTCATATACAGGACTTCACCTACAGACTCGAAGGTAAAAGTGTGTTCTCCACCATAGACCTAGTGCGCGCATACCATCAAATTCCCGTGGCTGAAGAAGACGTTCCTAAAACAGCCGTGTGCACTCCGTTCGGGCTCTTCGAGTTTACAGTTATGACGTTCGGACTACGTAATGCCGCACAGACTTTCCAAAGACACCTGAACTCTCTAATAAGTGACCTTGATTTCTGCTACGTGTATATAGACGACATCTTAGTGTTCTCCCGAGATGAAGCAGAGCACGTCGAACATCTAAAAATGTTATTTTCTAGGTTACGGGAGCATCACATAGTGATTAACCCGACCAAGTGCGTGTTTGGTGAAGCCGAAGTGAAATATTTAGGACATACGATTTCCGGGAGTGGAACCAAACCACTTGAGACGTCGGTCAGTGCAATCCGCGAATTCCCCAAACCAAAGACAGTTCAAGATCTGCGACGGTTCCTTGGCATGATCAACTTCTACCGACGTTTCATTCCCCACGCAGCCCAGACCCAAACACCACTTCACCAATATCTGAACAACGCGCGGAAGAATGACAAAACAATAGTCGAGTGGACAGAAGAAGCTGAAGCCGCTTTTGAAACGTGCAAGACAGAGTTAGCCAACGCCGCGCTTCTGGCACATCCCGCCGAAAATCTGCCGCTCAGAATTATCACCGATGCTTCTGATTACGCAATCGGGGGCGTACTAGAGCAGCACTCCAATGGGACCTGGCAACCTTTAGGTTTCTTCTCCAGAAAACTTAGCAAGGAGCAGCGCAACTACAGCGCATACGATCGTGAGCTGCTTGCAGTTTACGAAACCATAAAATTCTTCAGGCACATGGTGGAAGGCAGAGACTTTTGCATACTCACCGACCACAAACCCCTCATCTACGCGTTTCAGCAGAAAGCAGGCAAAGCATCCCCAAGACAAGTCAGGCAGCTAGATTTCATCGGCCAGTTTTCCACCAACATTACCCACATTTCAGGAGAACAAAACACAGTTGCAGACACACTTTCAAGGGTCAATGAAATCACAACTCCTACGTTCATTGACACCGACGACTTAGCCAAGGAACAAGAAAAAGACGCCGAACTAAAAGCACTTTTAAACTCTGATACAACAAGCCTGCGGTTAGAAAAACTCACCCCACAGGCCGGCCAGAAAGCTATCTGGTGTGACACGTCAACGGGGGTGGTTAGACCATACGTTCCACAAGATTCGAGAAAAGTAATTTTTGAAGGATTTCACAACCTCTCACACCCCAGCGGCCGAGCGACCAGTAAGCTCATCAAGAAGCGATTTGTGTGGCCATTTATGGAGAGTCACATAATGAAGTGGGCACGAAGCTGCATCCCTTGCCAGCGATCCAAAGTTGGCCGACACACCAAAGCCCCATTACAGCATTTCGATGACGTCACAGAACGGTTCCAACATGTGCACATCGATATAGTAGGTCCGCTACCTCCCTCTCAAAGCTACAGGTATTGCCTCACTATGTCTGACCGTTTCACCAGGTGGCCAGAGATCGCACCCATGACCGACATGACCGCAGAGACAGTCGCCAAGACATTCTACGAAACATGGATTTCAAGATTCGGTTGCCCAAGACAAATTACAACCGACCAAGGGCGACAATTTGAAGCATCCACCATGAATGCCTGGGCGAAAATTTTGGGCATTCAGCGCTCTCGGACGACGCCATATAGGCCCCAGAGCAACGGCCTTATCGAGAGATGGCATCGAACCATGAAGGCAGCCATCATGTGCCATGAAGCAGAAAGTTGGCTAGACGTTCTACCTACAGTATTATTAGGGTTACGTACAGCCATCAAAGAAGACATCGGCCACTCACCAGCAGAGCTGACCTACGGAACGCAACTGAAAGTCCCAGGCGAATTCTTTTTCAGCAATATCGACAGATCCGTAGAACCCACTACCTTTGTAGAAAAACTACGGGACCACATGAGGAAACTTCGCCCAACTCCAGCGTCGCACCACATTAGGCAAAGCACCTTCGTCCACACAGAGCTCAGTAAATGTAGCCATGTTTTCCTAAGAGACGACACCGTGCGAAGACCGCTCCAACAGCCCTACACCGGTCCACACCTTGTTCTGTCTCGTACTGCTAAGACAATAAAGGTCAATGTAGGCGGTAGGGAAACAACAGTGAATATCGACAGAGTAAAACCCGCTTTTATTCTCCAAGAACCAGAACCACCACCGGCTCCATCCCCAGTACGAACACAGGAAGTTACTCAAACCACCAGGTCAGGCCGCAGGTCAACGCTCCCCGCACGTTTCAGAGAATGACAACTGACAGCCGTTTTGACAGCTGTCACCCGTTACTTGGGGGGGGGTATGTGGCGTTGCTGTGATGTTAATGTAGGCAACACAACGCACACGTACTACTTCCTCTCGCCTACGAGTAGGCAACTCAATATGCTCACCGAACACCACTCGTGATTGGTTAGCCTGGCGCCGACGCAGAGACCAACTGGGGACACAAGGAGGCGCGAGTACGGCAAGTACTCTCTTCTGCCGCCGACATCGAAACGAAGAAGATGGGTACCGTCTCCTGTTCCACGTGTAAGATATCCGTTTGTAAATAAACTATAGAGAAACCCTACCTGGTGTTAGTCATTTCCACAGGTTCATCCGTTTGGGAGTGCAACAGAAATCAGCTGATGACCTTGAAATGATTCAAGTGATTATCGTCAAATATAGCTAAGCACCATCTCGCTTAAACCAGCTTTGAACTAAAAAACACTGCATCGAACTTGGTTCATCCGTTTAAGAGCCAGGGTGCCGCAGACAGAAAAAGGCTTTCAAGTTAAAAATGGCTTAAGTGATTATCATCAAACATAGCTAAGAACCATCCCGATCGAATCAGCTTTCAAACAAATAAGGCCGCATTGAAATATATATGCTGTATCTGAATATGTTTGAGTAAAGATTCAGAGTTGAAATTTTTACTGGATGTAATTTGGGTCATCTTTTGTCGATTTTATTATAAAGAAATTAAAGCATATTTCTTAAAAAAAAAATATTCGGGTATTTTTGTCTGCAACATTGTAGGCAGCCTTGTAAAAACAGACATTTACCTGAGCAGGTTTTTAAAATCTGACTGCTCATTGGATTACTGGTTTTTAGTGATCGAAATGCTTCAATATGCCGTAGTACACAATTAAAGAGAAAGTGGGAATAGTCGCCGGATACATTAAAGGCTTATCAATAACAGAAATTGCGCAAAATTTTGTTGCAGCATTTGCACATCGTCGACAGCGAGATAAGAGCATGATTAAAAAAAAGTATGCCAGATTTACAGGTCTCTCAATTGTGGATATCAAAAACGCAATTTCAGTGAAATTATCCTTTATAAGGTGAGAGCAACTTTTCAAGAGGCATAAGCGGGACGGGAGAACCCGCACCCAAACAAAAAAATCTATTTTTCAAATGTAATATACTTCAAATAAAAATAATATACATATATCTTAAGAATGGATAGAGATATCGAGATTCTGTAAACGCCATTGTTTCTAGCTTGAGGGGGAAGGTTAATTTAGTACATTGCAATTATGACGCATACATGACATCGGTGTCGCGATGCAAACCCATATTTTTTTTAGCTATGTTTGATGATAGTGCGTTGACCGTCGCAGCGATTCCACACTTTTTAAGAATGTATTGTTTAGTCGGGGGTTTTAAAATACTTATTAATACTTATTTATTATTAATTTGCAGAACAAAACAAAACAAAATGTTTAAAAGCTCAGAACTACTTTGCAGAGCTAAAAGGTGAGTAAAACTGAACAAAAAAAATTGTTTTAAAATAGACCAACGTTTCTTATGTAAGGCAAAAAACTTATCGATTCCTACCTCCATGCGGTACGTACCGCATCTTTTTGGTAATCATTATCTGCTAAAAATTTTCTGTCACCCGCTTATTACGAACCCTTTTTGGTTCACGAACACTCCCGGTATCTTCAGATAAATTAAACACATGTTTAACTCTGAATTTTGTCAGATTTTCTTCCGGAAACCGTTGCCTCAGACCTCGAATCGTATCAGGAATACTTCGGCTATATTCTCCATACACATATAGATTCTCCCTTTTCTAAAAAAAATCCTTTTTTGCCACTTCAACAGCAGATTTTTCAAAGAGGAATAAACTTTTCCGAAGTTTTCTTCCACGGAATACTTTATTTCAACGTAATACGTGATTTTCTTCAAAATTTTCAACTACCTCTATTACTATATTAGTCCTTTAAGATTACCTTGTATGCTTGTATTTAGAATTGAATACTCCTTCATAATCACTAATCAGGTAGGGTAGTCTAAAAAAATATACTGTATGTTTACTACGTATAGTCAGGGTTCGTCCTTTAGGTCAAAAGCAGTTACGAGTATCTAACAAGTTCCAATATCTTAATCTCGTCAGGAAATAGATTCTAGGGGATATTTTACATGAAACAGCTGCAAATAGGTACTTAGGAAGTACAGTTTAGAACACGGAATAGTTTATGCGTTAATTTAATTTACCTTTAGTTTAATTTTATGAAAAGTTATAGGTGTACATGGATTATGATGTCAAAACAATTGTCACTAATTCGTATTATCTTAAACTTAAACGCCACTGTTTTATCATTTTGACATAAAATATACGTTAACCCAGTTAACTGGAAGCATCAACTATTCCGTGCTCCCAATTGTACATATTAACTGGTTGCAAAAATGATAAATACTTAAATTAGTTTTATTATTGTTTAATTAAGCTTACCGATAATGCTTTGCTGAGAACAAAATACGCTAAAACTTATCTACAAGTCTGTTAATATTTGAACCGCTTAAATTTTACTTATAGTGTATTCAGCCTTCAGAAAAAAAGCAGGATTCCTTCCTAAAAACTAGTTTTGATTATCTTGAGTGCTGTTTTATACATTATTACAGTTATTACATATTATTAATTACTTATATTATATTTATATTATTATAAATCTATCGATTGCACTTGTGAACAACTAGATAATAATTTCATTTCACCAAACAGTACATATTTTACAGGCAGTTAATCATTATTGTTTCACTCAAATTGCGTGCAGTAATAAGTAACCAGTTCCCCTTCCTACTTCATAACTCGTTTTCGATTTGGGCAAATCTCGTTCAAAGTTTAGTCCAAGGTGCTGGTAGACGAAGATACAACAATGAATTAATCGAGGAAGTCTAGTTAATAAATAATTTCCATTCGTTGCATTAACATTAAATAGTAGTGTTTCATTTCAGTGTTAGCACCACACGTTGTGGGTTAGTTGGTAGTTAGCTGTTGAGCGACGCAGCGCGATAATTTTTATCTAGCAATCGATAATACTAGAAATAAGAACGATTTTCCGTAAGCAAAACACTTCAAAGTTGTGTGTGCGGGTATTCGAAACAGTTCGAAAATATGGCTGCAGTTCTTCGTGCCTTTCACTTTGTTGTGGCAACATTATATTTATTTGTATTTTGGTATGATCTAAATTTTGTCGACGTACCAATGATGCAGTTTAAAAAAGACATGAAATTTTTCAAAGGCAGATTAAAATTCCTGACAATCTGGAATTTGGTGAGTAAACAGCATTTTTTCTAGCTTAACGTAACATGTATTTTGCATCTCGGAGAAAGATTTAAATTTGGCGGCTAATGGTCATCCTGTTGGTGGAATTGGATATTAGATGTCACTGCTTTACATATGTCATTGTCATTGTCAAATCTATGCAAACATATCATCCGTCCGTTGGTTGGTTGTTGTGAAAATGTTTGCGTGAAATGTAATCGCAACCTTTGCTCCCTTTTACCGTGAAATCCTCTTATTTCGTAAGAACTTCAACTTGTCTTGGGAAAGTGATTGAAAGGTTATTTGGTGTGATGTGAAGATGAGCGTAAAAATTTTGTGTCATTCTTTTGCTGCATTGCATTTTTGGTTTGGTTGTTATTATGACTGGAATTATGTTGAAATTCCTACTGATGTTCATAGAATGGGGTCTTCTTTTGGTAAAAGTGGAAAGCTTAAGTTTTTGACCTTCTGGGATGCGGTTTGTTTATATCAAGAAATAGGTTATGTCAATATTATTAATATACCGTTTTTTTTTAGATTCTACAGGCTGTGTTTTTCACCATTTGTGTTATAAATGATGTCATTGGAACAAATGAAGATGCGCCAAAAAAGACACCGTTTATTCGAAGAATCAAAGATTTGGTAATGCCTAGAATTAATTTAATAATTTTGTTAGATAAATATGTATATGACAAAACTGACCTTGACAATGAAATTTCGACCTTGGCAATGAAATTTCGACCTTGGCATTTTTCAAAAAGTATTCAATCTAATGTAGCGTGTGTTTTCAGTTCCCAACTCATGTATACAGATTGTCAACAATTTGCATTCCTTGAATCAATTAAAAAAAAGCTACTCCTGTTCCACATTCATGATGTATTTGTTTTGGTATGAACATCTCGCCTAATCAAATGCAGTAAACAAGAGCTTAATATAAATATTCTTTTTAGTTGGGGACATTTATGTAATAACAAATTACACTACTTCATTGTTTTCAGTTTGTGTATAATAAATACTAGCTCATCAAGGTTTGCATCCACATCTCTAGCACAGAAGTGACATAACAAATGAATTAAACAATTTGAAAATAATAAAAGTTTATATGATCTTGAGTCCACATTTTCCATATCTTTGTGATTTAAAGAAGTAAACCTTAAAATTTGCTTTGAAGTTTGTTATCTAATTGACAGATTAATTAATTTAGCTAAAAGTTGAAAGAAGAGATGATATTAATTTAACAGATGAAAATTTTCAAGGTTCTTTTTCTTAAAATGAACCAACGTGTAAAATGCTTATTATGTTCAGAGTTGAAAAAAGAGCTCATTTTTACTTACAATCACTTGAGTACAGTTACTTTTTACTTTAGCTACTAAATTTAGACTTTTAGTAGTTTAGTTTTAAATTGTTGAAATATTCCATCTTGTATATTGGAAAGGACAGAAGACAAAAATCACGAACGTTAACGTTGTTTTTGAAATTTTGTGACGATTTGTATTAACTGTTAAAGTCGGGTCTCAGGATATGAAATTTTAAGCAACTCAAAGGTCAAAATATGTTGAACGTCAAATTTGACGTTTCACCCAAATTCAGAATTTGCATTCTTATTTTAGTACATTCAGTTTTGTTCATTCACGTAAGCGTTGACATATTATGCATTCAAAACATATAAATAAGGTATGAAGTTTTTGTGGTGACGGTTTAATTTGCAAGTGAATGCAGTTCCTGGTTGTTAATTTTAAAGTATTCTTTTAGTAAAGCTAGTTGATTTTGTTCCTTCTTGTCATAAACCTTTTCGCACAATTGGTAAGGAGGTTGTCAAATTTTAGCATAAAAGCTAATTTGTGCGGAGGCTAAAAATGCGTTTTCGTGTTATACATGTTTATTCTATAATGGTTTGTGTTTAATATTCTAAAGTCAAAATGTTGACAATTCTGACTACTGTCACCATTACACGTTACTCCGACAAACTATACCACTTGCCGACAATTGCGCTTCGGCTATCAGCGTTAACATAGAGTGTGGGTTTAACCACTATCGATTTTTTTTTTACTCTGACACATCCTGATGTTCATAATCCCTGTTATCGGTTATAGGATACAACCATCGTTTTCTCTTTTTCCAACAAGTTACCATTTTGTCATGCTTTTTACTACTCGATTGTCTTTTATTCTTCGGATATGTCTCAGCTATGCTATTATTTGTATTTTAATGTTTTTCTAATTAATATTTTATTACTATTATAAATAGTAAAGGAATCAATTGTAGGATCCTTAGCCAACTAAATTCATACCAATTTGCACGCTTGAATGGGAGGACGATAGTATCTTGCATGCATGCGCACTTAATAAATTTGATAGTGCCGGCGCCTTGTATTAAATTGGTTAGGTTTAAATTTTATTCGTGCTTTGGTCCATTTATTTTTTGCGGCACTTCTCTTTCAATTATTTCAAAAGCTTTTTCATCTTTTCTCGTCAGTTTCCAAGCCACGTCTGTAGATTACTATCGATCTTATGAGTATAATTCTTCGGAAGTTATACATGTGACTTAGTAATCTAGATTCCATTAATTTTTCAGTGTATCTCATCAAAAACTTCCGCTGAGGATTTGATCTCAGCATTCGCAGAGTTGTTCGTATTGATTTTCCATTCAAGGTAGGAACAGTATATTCCCATGTGTTTTGCTGTATTTCCTTGAAACCGCTATTACCGTTGTGTATTTTCTTTTGTTTCATGTACGTTATTTTCATTTAGTTTATCTTAAGTTCTTATTTTTGTGCTTCCTGGTCTAATTTATCGACGCCTTGTTTAGTATATCTGTCTGCCCTGTAATTTCTAGTTTTTCAATAATAGTCAGAGTTAAACTTTCCACTGTATTGGATCTTGTGTTAGTCTGGCATATCTTGTTTAGTATTTTCTCTGTATCATACTAACACTGTCAAAAGCTTGTATCTTAACATACCTACATCTTTCATAACTACTCATTTAATATTTCTTTCGGGTAGAATTATTATAAATGGCCCTGAACAGTGTTTTTCGGGTTACATGGAAAAGTATTATTCGTATATAACATTTGCATTATATGGTTCTCAGTTGCCTTGACATTTATTTTTCAAGACTATGACGGATGTATTAGATTTCTGTTTTCTTTTTCGTTTGCCCTCTCCTGTTTTTGTAATCGTTTATAGTATATATCATCAGATATAAATGTCGTTTTGTTAACATTACGATATCTTCGTTCTCAGTATATGTAAGGTTTTGACAGATCTCTCATTCTGCAGTTTAGTATACAGTCGGTTCCATCTTATTCAGATACACAGACAAAATATCTTCGAAAAATCTCTTCCATTTATAAACTATACCGTTCATTATCTTTACAGGTCGTTACCTTTCGTCAAATGTTACATGTTTTCTATACGGGTTTATAAAATCCAGTGACTTTTTATGTAGTCTTCTTTGATTTTATTTTTTTATGTATATTCTGCTATATTAAATTTGTATCTTTCTTATCTTGTTTTTAAGCAGTGCCTCCGTAGATATCCGTAGAAACAGTTTTTTTTTTTTTTTAATATTTTGTTATGTTATACATTTAAGACCATTTGTTAGGTTTCAGTTGTAATGGTTATGATTTATTTTCTGTACCCACCTCCCCAATTATCCGTAAAAATGTTTTTCATACTTTTGAAAAAGCGGTTGGACTCACTGAATTCGTTTATTGCTTCAAAATCGTGGTGGTTCGTCTGGATGTCGGATATTATTTTTATTATAGAATATTTTATTTGATTCTGGTTCTTGTTAGGATACCCAATGACAATTCGCAGCGTATTGATCATTCCATTTCTTGCTTGAATTCCAGATCCTTTTGCGTTTATATTCATTATTTTCATTATATTGCCAATCTGTTCGTTACAGAAGTTTTTTTGGCATACCTATAACCTGTAAATAAAATTATGGTTACGTGCTTGTCAGGGAAATGATAATTTAGATTGAATTTTTTTTTATAATTCTGTTTGGACAATAAATTCAAGTAACAACGATTTCATTAGACAAGAATTTATTGCACTTAGTAATTACTAAGTTTGATGGGTGCGCAGCAGTATTAAAAAAAAATAATGTTTTTTTTTAAATTGCGCTTTTTACAATTTTTGTTTACTTGAATATTTTTAGTTAATATTTTGTTATAACTGTTTTTAAAATATTAAAAACAAAAATTGTCCGTAGATAGAATTTATCTTGTCCCAGAAGAAAATTAGAAAATATGATTTACGAATTTTATTTTTTTCATGACTGGTATAAATTAAATAAATCGTGGCTGATTCAATTTTATAAAATTTAAGTAGCATTTACTACGCAAAATTTTTAGGTGACGCCATCAAAATGTTGATGGGGATAAGTAGACCAATTTTGTTTATCGTTTTACCGTCTATACGATATACCTAAAATACAAATAAAACTTTACACAATCAGTCCACTGCACTAATTTTGAGATTGTCTAATAAAATCGAAGCAGACAAGAGCCGATAGGTAAACAGACAAAAACGGCAAAATAAACGTTTTGCTGGAAATGTTTAATTCTAGTCAATGTTCGATTTATTTTGATTTAAACTGCATTTAAAAAGGTTATAATATGTTTAATATTTTCGTAATTTGAAAAGAAAATTTAGAAAAATAAAACAAGAATGATTTAAATTAGTGATTTTCTTGAAAAAAAATCACTAAAATCACTAGTTTTAAATCAAACCCCCCAGTGGATGGATGATTTATATTTTTTTTCAAAATTTGCGTACCTCAAATGTTCCTGAGTAAAGCCCTCCTTTTACGTACTCGTATTAGGCAACACAACATTACAAAACACTCACCCAAAAATTGTATGTTGTTTGGCACTTGTAAAAAATATTAGTAATTTTTGTAAGTCTAAGAAAAAAGATGCAGATTTTTTTGTGCGCTTATGCTCAGCAACGTCAAATAATAGTGTATTCACTGGTAGATAGGTTGTGTTTAATATCCATAATTCTTGTAAGCTGTCATTTCGAAATTCATATCGCTTTTATGATGTTTAATGGTCACGGCGTATTTCTTTGATGATAAAAATATGTAAATGGGACAAGTAGTAGTGACCTCTATTTGTTAGTTTTATTTGACTGATTTTTCGCTAGGTATATGCATTTTTTAACGAGTTTTAAAATAAATCACAAATTATCTAAATCAAGGACTTTGCACCCTTCATTACAACAGATTAGAAACTACAGTTCGTTTTGTAAATTATGAAAAACATTTTCACTTATAGTTAATTATAGAATTTGTTTTTATTTTTCAGAGGTTCATAAATCTTCATTGAAACAATGAAATAAAGACAATTTGCAGAACAAAATATGTATATAGTATGCTCATCTTTTAAAATATGTTAGGATGTGACACGTCTTAAGTAGATAACGTTAAATGTTTCAAAATACATACGTAAGATCTGAATACATAATTTCGATGAAATAAATATTGTACTGGCTGAAATGTTAGCTTAATGAATAATGACTAATACTCGGTTTTAAATAACCATCTTCCTTTTTCAGATTTTGACATGCTTGGCCTTCCCGTTGTCAATGTTCGTCGGACTCACGTTTTGGTGCATATATTTCGTCGACAGAGAATTGATCTTCCCTAGGGCCTTAGACAAGTTCTTCCCGGTGTGGTTAAATCATGCCATGCACACTAACATAATGATATTCATTTTAATCGAATTGTACACGTCGTACCGAAAGTATCCGTCGCGGAAGTTTGGCATGAGTGTATTAAGTGTGTTCATGTTGATATACTTAATTTGGATTCATATAATTCACGCCTATTCAGGAGCATGGGTATATCCAATTTTGGATGTGTTAAATTTACCACTAAGAATCGTTTTCTTCGTTGGGTTATTTGGTTTAACTTTATCGTTGTATCTGCTAGGTGAAAAATTAAATGGGGTACTTTGGAGCAAGAGATTACATATCGCGAAAAAGCGTTAATGCTGATTACGTGGCTATAAGTCTTGTCAATAATTTTAGTAGGGTAGTTTGTTGTGGAAAAGTGCATTTACTCACAGTGTGATAGTTTGCACAACCTAGTGTTAATGTGATTTTAGGTACTTTAATTCTAGCCAGCCAGGTTTGAGACTTTCACCGGTGTTATTTCGGTGATGTTGTACTGGCAAAATTTTAAAAGAAAAAACATTTTTAGACATTTTAATCTCATCGTAATTTGGTCACTTTTTAATACTTTTATGAAAAAAAATTGAAATTATTGTATAAATATAGATAAGATTGTGCCTGACAAACTTTGGCAATAAAATGATTCCTTTGTAATATTTTAGGAAGAAAAACTTGTTTCAATTAATATTGCGAATTTTCACTTTACTTAGTATAAAGTTTGATACTTAAAATTAAGCTCCAAGGGTTTACCTAAATAAATAGCAAATAATTAGTACCGTGTTTTAAGAACTATATTAGGTGTTAGTTAAAAGTTGTTGTGTATTTGGCATTCCAAGCTATTGTTTAATAAAATATGATTATTGTTTTATTGATGTCTTTTATTTTTGTGAAATTACCTTTTATTCTATTTTAGGACCATAATCTTTTTATAAGCACCCAAATGCGGGCTTAAATTGGCCTTTTTAGCACAAATCTGTCAAAAATTGCTAAGCAACAATTGATTGTTCATTTACACTAATCAATTAATTATTCAAACACGCTTCGGTATTCAACGTTTTTCTTAAGTTGGAAAAATAATACTTTATCAAATCATTACCTGACCGAGTTCAAATTCTTCTAAACTTTCATTTGAATAAAGGTTTTCCGCTTCTTTTATTTACATTTTGAAAAACGAATTATCAAATAATCAACGTGGTATCCATAACAACATCAAAATAATAGCCAGCTATGTATTAAAATTCGCATCGGCACAATTCACAGTCTTGCCGAAAATACTCAATATTTCGTTAAAAATAGTTTAGAAACTAAAATAGAATAAAACGTTGTATGTACCATGTGCATAATTGTCGATTGTGGCACTCGGGAAATTAAAAGCCCTCCTTCGTCGGGCTTTAAACATTCCCTCGTGCCACAATCTCCCTGATTATGCCCTTAATACATAAATAACTATTAAATTTTGTTTGTCAGCTAGACATGATTTGAAAAGATAAGTAGATATATTATATGTTATATTTGTTTGTATTTTGTTATCATGTACATCCAACATGTCTGTCCGTGAAGCACAACTCAGGGAAATGGCCTGGAACAAACTAAAGAATTTCCGCTTAAAGTTTCCCAATCCCTGTTAAAATATGTATCTGATGACGATACAAATGTCGCTGTTCTGGCATGTCTGCTAGAAAAATAAAATTTGTTGTCGAGTTTCATATAATTGTGGTGCAGGGTATCTCTGAACGTTCTTAAGCATTTTAAGCCATTTAGCTGATGTTTTGAATATGGAAAATTGACTAGGATATTAAACAGTAAGCTGAGATTTTTGGCCTTGTATTGCGTTTAATGGGACAAACTGCTTTGCATTTATATGCACATTAAAGTCTGTGTAATATAACGCGTGTCCAGTTACAAGTACTTTTAAAAATTGTATTCGTCATTAGTTCCACTGGTGTCATAAGTATGTAGAGCTCGAATTTTTTGTAAAGCATGTTAAATAAATACATATGGAAAAAATATTACTTATTTTACAGGTTTTTGCCACATTGTCACTTATGGAAGTTTCCTGGTCAACTTGAAATTATGTTTTTTTCTAGAGACCCCACCGTACTGATGTTCATGCAATCCAAAAAACTGGATTTATAAATTTATAACATTCTAGTTTTCTTGAAAAAAGAGCTGCATCTGATCTACCACTGTTGATGAGAGTTTTGGGGTATTGTATATAGACAATAACTGAAACCGGACAGTTTTTTTGGCGAGACCCTATCTAAAAACTTTATAATTATCACCAATGATAGATGTAGAAAGACTATAAAATCGTTATTTATGAACTATGTATATAGCACTTAAGTGAAATGATGCTATACCGTATGTAGGCAACCAATAGAACTTATTCGAGAGCACCAACAACATGTCGCTAACGAGTTTAACCTATTGTTGCTATTGTGCAACTGTAATATACTTATATAACAAGAAAATTTAAATTTTGTATGATTGATTTGTATTTATTTACTGGCAACAACTGCGTTTCTTCGTTTTTCTCTGACTATTAAAGTACAGTCTCCAAGAAGTAGATAATGTACATATGGGCAGTTTGATAAAGGACTAATCCCAATATAATTTTTGTGACTAACTACTTTCCACTGAAAACATCTCTGTTAACTATTTTTCCTTTGAGTAATTTTCAGTATTAATGACTTTTTGAATCTTCTACATAATAGGTATATCATCTAGTACCATTTGCATTAGTGCACGAGACGGCATTTCCCTACAATTACAAATATGTTCTAAAACAATAGTTATAATCAACGGGCGGAATTGTGGTTCATACGCTAGATCCAGTGCTGTCGTGGCGATAGTTTGATTACAAATATATTTTTCTTTTGGATTATACCAACATAATATAACATTTCAAGATCACAAATCTGTGGTCCCGTGTTTGAAAAATTAAAAAGGGCATCGAGTATTGTTTTTTGAAGTAGTTTTTTAACAAGCTGTAAACACTCCTAGCCACGCACTGGCTACGACCTTGTGGACCAGATCAAAGCGTCCCCGCTACTCGCCGTAAAACACCTTGCTTCAACTGGGGAGTTGCATTCGTAAGATAAATTTCCGCCTACTGGTTATAATCAACATGTGATAAGTATATGAACAGTGAATTAAATAAATATTCATGTTTGTTTCTTTTTACATTTGTTTATATTTACTTCTGTTATTAATAAATAAGTTTCTGGAACGCTTGTTGAAGTTCACTGTGCTCTTTTAAATTTTTTTCGGTGAATAACTATTTCTGCTTTAAACATGAAATTAATTTGAAATATGTAGACTTATCTTAATTATAATTAATGCGAGAGTTTTAAAACGTATGCCAATTGCACTTTTTATAATTTGAAAAATTTTAATAACCAGCAAAAATTTCGAAATAAATTTCTTGCTGTTTTCAGTAATTATAGAGATCGGAATTCTTTTTGTTACTCAAGATGTTACGTTTTTATGCTAACCCACGTTCACGGACTGTCATAAAGAGAAAATCGAAAGAAAAAGACGAAAAACAAATCTGTATATAGTACCATCCAAATAAATAATCAGAATCGACCATCAACCTCCAAACGTAAGAACAAATTCGCATACTTATTAGCAAATATCAAATATCATTGCGCTTATTAGACATTGCGAATAACATGCGCAGAACCGCACATTCATAAAAATCGCCAATCTCAATTACTTTCATTAAAATTCGTACCCAAACTAAACCAGTAGGAGGGGAAACCCACACGCATATAAATCTCAACAATAAACGGAACGAGGAACGCCGCCTTTTCTAAAAGAGATGATGCAGATTGGCGCAACGAAGAGATGACGACAAGGGGAAACGAATGATGCAAGCTGAAAAAACCGAAAAATTTAGAATTAAAACCTAACTCGAATTCGGGTAAATCCATCCGAGAAGAGATCCTATTTGGAGCGAAACTAAACGAAACGAAAAAATAGCGAAATATGATCTAAGGCGCATCCCATGGAAGACATATTGTTACGATGATCGGTAATTTAAAATCGACGTGGGTAAACTCAACAATTTATTTCTTACTAACTCAAATTTACACAACTAACTGCATAACGATTATGTACAAAATAATTCCGGCGCAACTTGACTGGACTCTGTCTTGACTGAACTGGCTGAATAATAATCGTTCCCGAAAGTGGCCTCTATTTAAAGCCATACTTCCCTTCTAGAAATTCCGCAGTCGAAGTCTTTCTGGAATACCCATCGCGACTTTCGCTTCTATCACCGTACATACTAGAACCCATAACAATAACTGGTGAGCAGAGTTCCGGTCATTCTTGTAGTAATTTTTCTGTATTCCACAGCACTTTACGATTTTTTTTTATGCGATAACAGGATTCGTTAGTTGCCGACTCGTTCAGGAGGAGGAAGGGCTCTGCGTTGTCATTCGTTGATGTTAAAGGCGCTACCAGTATTGTTTAGGTTTATTTGGACAAGGAACAAACAACTAGTGGAAAAATATGTCCGAAGTCAAAATTTAATTCAATAATAAACTAACAAGTGTTCCAACGGGCTAATTATAAATTTAGTGAATTCCCGAGGAAGTTATAGCTATAACTTTTACATTACATCTACACGAATTTCTGATACTACAATTAACTACTTCTGGTTAACAAGTATCTTGTATCGTCGACCGAAGGAAGGTTGAAGCGGCGAAAGAGAGAAGGACAATGAAGGCTTATCTAGTGGAGGGCGAGGGCGAATAGGTGAGGGTCAGCGTTGGTTTCTCCTAGTCCAATGGGCTGAAACGGATCTGTGCCGGTCGTTTAGCACACCTGGAAACGGAAACCTTGAGTGAGTGAAGGCAGGTATAGTCCCAATCTGACTTCGTTTTTCTGGCCTTGCAATCTCAATTACCGCAAGCATTAGGAATTCTATTAAAAGTGTAAATAATCATAAATCATCTTAAGGGCCTACGGGCGCGTACGGCCGTGTGTGCTGTAGACAGTTGGTCTTTTGATGGTTTATGACCGTTGGATTACTTGCGGCAGAGGCCTAGTGTAGAAGACTTAACTCCTTCACAATAGGATGCAGTCGTAAAAACGGAGCAGCACTTGGAACACTATACAAAAAAACCCTGTGTGTCAAAAATGGTCAATGCTCTAGAAGAAGATAATGGCTTTTATACCTGCTCCAGAGGGTTTTAGTGCACTAGTGAATCAATGAACTCAACTTATGAGATAATATGTAATAGGAGATAATAGACCGCTTCCATCTGGGTTCCCGGCACCGCGATATGTCGATTAAGTACTGCCGCCGCAAATGTAACAATTTCCCCAGGTCTTAAGAAATTTTCCTCGAAACTAACAATTAACCGACTAAGGAACTTCAAATAAAGGAAAAGGAGACAAAAAAGAGGAAAACATCGTACGTCCGCTTTAATAAGCGCGGAAGAGCGGACCTCCTCCCCACATTCCGCGTGGGTGTCCGTACTCTTCTAGAGAGTGTCCTTGGGAGACTTATCACCGGTAGAGTACCCTAGACTTACTTTTCAGCCGCAATCTAGACAGCTAATTTTCTACAACTACTTAAACAACGACGGGATCTTTATGATCCATACGTTTAAGGTCTTTTGCATGCCAAACTCCTTTCTCTTGGCCGTTGTTGTTTTGTCGCATCATCATCCCGACGAAATTTTAGCGGTCGAAAGTTTCACTTCGTGTCCAAAATTAAGGAAATACGGTGTGAATCGAGTAGTATCGTGCCGTGTCGTTCGTAACGCACAAGCTACCTTAGAAAGGTAGGTACAACTACTATGATTATCGGTAACATACATGGACAACATCTGAATTATATACGCTTGACACGTGCCGTGGGGTTTGCTTGACGGTGGTGGTGGGCGCTAAAGCGAATAACGAATCGATACGTATTAGAAAAACTCTGAAATTCTTGACTTTTGCATTGCGTACCGTTGTAGGCAATAAGAATTTTTGGGATGCCAAATAGAAGAAAAACTGGATCCTCCACTTTTTTGATAATCTCTTTCGCGGTAGCTTTCTTAAGGGCAAAAACGAGAGAGAATTTTGAGAAACAATCCATCACTATTAACATAAACGCAAACCCTGCGCTGGACCTGGGAAGTGGGACAATGATGCCCGTGACCAGAATTCCCAGGGTGTTTATTGTACCTTGGGTTGTTCTACCATAAGACCGGCTGGACGTCATCTGACTTATGGCAGACATACTCTCGACATTTAGTAACGTATCGTTCCACGTCGCAACCCATTTTTGGGCAATAGTAGTGATCTGTCACATGGTGGTATGTATTGTAAGTGCCAAGGTGACCCGACAAAGGTAGATTTTGAGCCGCTTGTATCACGAAGTGGCGTCTAGGATTGGGCACGACTTCCCTTCATAAATCGTTTAGAGCCGCCAAGGGGACGAACGTTGATTTCACCCGCTTAAACAGTTTGTCATCCTTAAATTGCCAGTTTGGATAGTTGGGGGGATTGGACTAAGCTTTGTCCTTCATACTTGTGTACCAATTATTATCAATATCTACTAAATCCCGTAGAAATGTTCTTTGCCCTTCCTATGAACTATACGAAAATCGAATTATTGAAGACGAACGGTCCAACGCGCGAGTTTATCCGTGAGCTTTCTCAAATTTTTTAGCCACACCAATGAAGAGATATTTCTTTTCATATCGTGTGTTCAGTTGAAAAAGGCATCAAGCTGGTCTTGCTTTTCTATGAACATTGTGAAGTTGTGAGGGATTTTTTTTTCTCTGAACATAGGATAATTCCTGTATGTTGGGTTGCATATTCATCCTCGAATGGATTGATTTGGACTTTTAAAAACTGAACATAATAAGATTCGTAAAAATTGAGGGGAGGACATTTACATTAAAATTTTTTAGGAAATTGTTTTAAAAAGGCCAATAAAGTAAATTTTCAGTTCTTTAAACTTGTGCTTATTACAATACCTTAACATGAAGACAGTGCTAAATGTCAATATCTTAAATCTCGATCAGATTTTATGTTCAGTTTTTAAAAGTCCAAGTCAATCCATTACAAGTAGGTATGCAACCAACTTAACATTATTATCCTATGTTCAGAAAAAAAAAACTCACGGTATGTCGCCAATTTAGCTTAAAATTTAATCGATGACAAAACATGTTGGCATGGTCAACCGAATAATCCTAATTATGTCATAAAATTGTATTAGTATGCTTTTAAAGTGATTTTAGTATACTATACACGGAGAAAAAGTCACTTTTACCTTTTGTTATTTTTCTCTTAATATAATGATCTGTTTGAAGTTGTTCTAAACAAAAAGTTGCATTGTGGAAAATATTAAGAAGCTATTTTTTTCACATTGTACAAAAAGTAATTCCCACAATATAACGTGAAAAGTGAGGGGACATAATCTCAACGATTGAAGCTGGTTAATATACCCGTTTATCAAGTGGGAGACGTTCAGGTTGTGACATTTTTCCTCACTTCTGCACCACATTACTAAAAATTACTGGTTGAGTAAACCATCACTTTTGATCTTACAATTTCATTAAATGTAGATGCAGTCGTGGGCCTTTTAAAGTCATACACAGTTTTTTGAACGCATCCTACGAAAATTAAAAAAAATGTAATGTGTATTAATTAATATACCTAATGGTTTTATTCTATCACGTCGACGGCAACGTCATTTTTTGACAAAACAGTGTCGGGACTGAGCAATCGTGCCTCTATTAAAAAGTATTAATAACCTCGACAAAAAACTGTTCAACGAGCAAAACGAAAATTTGAAGAAATAGGGACGGCTAAGAAAACAGGCTGCTTTATCACTTGAGGTACTTCACTAAGTACGTAGTATCAATTTATTGTCATTTCAGGGCAAATACTATAAAGAAAACTTGTTTGTTGCAAAATTTTCGATCGGCTTTAATTTTTTTTTTGCACAGTTGTAGTTTGTATGAATTTTTGTAACAGACTTTGCACTTCACGACACTGACGTCTGTGACATTAAATGACGTTTTAGGAGCAATTTACAATGCTAAAATTGTACATATTGCACATGGTTTGTGATCAGAAATCGTGTACCTAATTTAGTTTTAAATTCTAAATAAATTCGGTCTTCATTTTTTGTTTGTTTATATATTTTTCACTTAAATAAACGTAAAATGAGCACACGAATATTAGCAGATGTAAATTCTCTATTGATAATTTAACTAATGAATCTAATGATATATATATGGAAATTTTCTTTTCAAGTTTTGTACTTTAGTCGGTGGCGTATCTAGTTTTTAGAGAATATTTGTTGGAAATAATGAATTTCATTGACAAAAGCAATGATTTTAGCAATTACCTAAGCCTTCACACAGATTATTATTATTAAAGAGATTAATCAATACTCATAATCACAACGATTATTAAATTTTGAAAGATTAAGAACGCTTTATTTATATGGAATGGTGCATTGTTTTGGGTAAACACTAAACAGTTTACATATCTTCAAATTATGAAACGTCGAGAAAACATGAGTTAAGCTATTCATCAAGTGTATTGCAATAATTTACTATTTATTAGCATATGTTGAGGTGGTAAGAAAGCAAGTATATCTTCTGTGGTTATTAACGTTTTTAATGTTATATTTAGTTGTTAAAAATGTTATATCTCGCTTCATATTTGTTAAATGTTTAATATGTGTAGCGTTGCACATGTCGGAAAACTTTTTCTAGTAATTACGATGGCAATTAAAAATGAAACGAATGACTTTTGCTTAGCAACAATTTGTTAGACGTTAAATTATCTTACTAGTATAATGAATTTTTTTAAGAATATAGTTTTAGTGGAGCTAATATTTAGTATGCTCGCGGGACATTTCATTACGGTTTTGCCATTGTTTCTGGGTATAATTGTGTCGCGATTTTGCTTATCAGTAATTCAATGACAACGCGGTGATAAAACGATAATAAATAAATGATATACAACCAACACAACGTTCTCTAGCCACGCGGTCATTTCCATGCCAGCGACTACAAGACATTTTCTAATGGTTTATTATTACGTTATTCAACGTAAGTGGGGATAATATACCAACGGGAATGTTCCGTAATATTGTGTTGAAATTACAATTAACTTTCGACGTTCGAAAAGAAATCATAACAATATGGTGTCGGTAGTTAGTTCCTCGGAAAAAAATTCGGCACTAATGTAGTCTTGGTCAGGTGAGTACTAAATTCATTAATGTTTAAGCTGATAAGCTCTGTAGTGTTCAGTAATTTTGTTACCTCATATAAGATTTATATGTTGATTGTTAGTGATAGATTACGATGATTCATCATTGTTATCACAATACAATGTTTATCTGATGTTATGTCGACAATCGAATGAATTTATCGAATTTTTGCAGTTTCCGAACTTAACCAAAGATGAGCGCGAACCTCTTTCCCATGATGTCTAAGCCCAAAGATTCCCGGATTCCGGTGCCCCTCTCCCCCGCACCTCTTCGCCGCTCCGGAAGCCTGCGACTCCGGGGCGAGAGTCTAGTGCCGAACCACCTTAGTCCGTCCACGAACCAGACTGCCAGGCTTCAGCAGGACAATAAAAGCGCCCTCCTGAAACGAGGGAACTCCTTCATGGAGAGGGGAGAGAGGCATGTCCGACATGGCGTTTCTGCAGCGGCTGCGAAATCCCGAAATATCGACACGACGGACTCCCTCAACCGCAAAGCCCTTAAAGGGGCAGCGCCTCAGTCGCCCTCTCGAATAAGGAGTCTGGTGAGTGCCTGGGATATCGTTTTAAAAAAGGGAATCAGTATTGATTGGTTGCCGGTTCGTGTTGCTCTGGGTAATAATTTACGAGTGTTGCAGTCCTTGTCGCTGTCCACGACTCGGCTGAGCGCCCCTCGGTCGCCCTCTGCACTGACCTCCTCGCCGAAGACACCGCCGACTTCTCCGGATGTCAAGAACCGTTCCGGTGCGAATATAGACTGGGATACTGAGAGTATTACGAGTATAACTAGTTTAACAAGTGTGGGTTCATGTGATCACGCGAGTGTGGCACGGAATGGCACCACATTCTCCGGGAGAAGCATGAAGTAAGTTGAGAAGAAATTTGTTATTTTAGCACGTAGGGTAGAGTAGTAACAAAATCTATACATTTAAAGAAGTGTACTTTTTATGTTTATACGTGTAGTAATGTTTTTACCAGACGATACATAGGTTATCTTAGCACTGTGGCACGCGTTGAAATGGACAGTTTTTTACCTTTGGAATTTAAAATATGTAGAATTAATATTCTACACAACCTACAAACTGGTCGAATGTAATTCTAAGTTTCTCGAACTGCACATGCACGCCTGCGCAAACAACAGATATTTTACTTTGCGTTTTCCTTTCCGTAAGTTTGTCTGTTTGTCAATCTGAAGATGGTGAAACGTTTAACATATTTGATCAGTTGGTCTCCATAAAAAATGATGTTCATTAATCTGTGCCTTAATATTTTTTCACTTTTACGTTTACGAGTTCGAAGACACATATGTCAAACTTCTTCGAAATTTTGAAGTGATTTAGGGAATACAAAACATTAGTGAGTACTTATTTATTTATTGCATACAAAACTTTATGATATCTTTTTAAACAGTTATCAATTAATTTGTTATTGAAAAATATATCTCAACGTATGCACTTATGCTTGAACTTCAGTAGCATGATTTTGTTTGTCAGAATAGTGCGCACAAGTTATCTAAAAAATTAATCTAAGAATCGATTTATTTTATCGATTGTCTCAGAAACACTATAGTATTGTGTGTCGGAAAATATAGTGATCTTCCTCCGTGGCACTGTATACATGTATCAAAAGCAGCATATTTATTCGGTGTGTTTCGGAGATGAGGCTTCATTTTTAGACTTTCGTACACATGGTATTTAGAGTCCTGGGTAGTTATTTTATTAATATCTAACATTTTTGTGAAAAATTTCAAATATTTCTTGAAAAAAAAAAAAAAATCTGGTTCAATTGTTCATGCTAGAAAATAACTAACATTCCGCATAAGACATTACCAAAATTACGTTTATCATTTTCTACTCTTTTCCACAAAAAAGCGTAATGTCTGTATTAATTAATGATACATTTATTTAGACATTTTTTCCAGCAGCTTTGAGTCTGTGGACTGGACTACACGTCTAACCAATATATTGATTTCGGTCAAACATGTTGACGTTATCTCAAAGAATTAGTAAACAAATTTATTAATTGATATGCGTGTTGCTTGTGCTTCAAAGGTGAGGAAGCTAGGTTAATTATTTTACAGACTCTTTAAATTACGCTACCTTTTAAAAATAAAATTTTGCACTGTAACTCAATGGCTAACCCTAAAATTGATCGAACCAAATTTTTGCCAATGGGGAGTGAAAAAAAAATTAACTTATGGTATGACAAAGACTTTCAAATAAGAGTGTTTGGTTTGGGATGTGAAATATTGATGTATATCACTAAATCCTTGGCAGGCAATAAACTGTTACGAAACAGTTGTGAATAATTCACGAATTTTAATCATGGATATAGAAAGGGAAACAGGGGTAGATAACAATAACGATAAAGATAAAACATGAGTTCATTAAAAGCAAAACTGATGCGATCTAGGGCATAACAACAGAGATATTTCAATTGTTTAATTTATTTTTGTTGCATTTGAGTGTTTTGCGTGTCACTAGTTAGACACGCCTGTTATCGACAACCAAATAAATTGACGATTAATGAAATTAAAGGACATACAATTAAATTGACAATAAATTTTTTCTACTGCTATTGTATCATTTATACTGTTTTAATTTATGCTAAATTTTTGTACATGCGTGTTGTTTATTGTGCGTGAAGAAATCCCGGTTTTAATTGTATACAGGTAGGTATAAATGTTTCTGACGAGAAGAGAAAGAGAGGGGTGTTTGCATTAATTACTCAAATGTGTTATTTTATACCCATTTAAATAAATTAGGTTGTCTTAGTTTCTGAATTATGACTGTTAGTCTCCTAGTAGATTTCAATATAAATTCATTATTTCTTAAACATGAACCCAAGTTATTTTATTTTTATGTTTTTGCTTACTGAATCCGTTCGTGATTTTAGCATTTATTTGCACAGACGTAAGCTATAATGGTATTAACCTCCATTAAAGATAAACTATAATTCTGTCTAAATACAATAGATTTTTACCTCCGTGCCTTTATAGTTCAAATAAAATTGCAAAAAAAAAACATAATTGACTATTTTAATGTTAGTTTACAGCTTGTTTCGTGTATCAATGAATTCCAGTGCATTTAACACAATTTAACATATACGAGTAAGAAGTGAATATGCATTTCGAACATCTAATAATTAGTCACATCAACACTAGTTGAAAGTTGGAATAAAATCCATCAGTAAAACATTTTTAAGATACGATAACTTTTCATTTGGCACATTTACAATTAGTACATTACATTTTTTGGTTTTTGCTGAGAGAAATTGTTTCAGTAATTTTTCTACAGCTGACTACACTTGCATAAATTGGACAACGCCCAGAGACACCTTAACAGTCACATTTTGGTGAAACCAAAATGAATGTGTAATTTGAAAGCAGTAATAAGTTTTTTCTCGTTTCATTGAATTAGTGGTTTACCAAATGGTAATTTTAATCACCCTATTGATTACAAAGCAGCCTACGCCGATGGTTAGCTTTGTGTCAAATGTACGATTGTTGTAAAAAAATCATTGTATTCGTTTTACGAGCAAAATCAGGAATAAAAATACGAATATGTTTCATTGTTATGTGGTAAAAACAAAATATTAGACAATCATTTTAATTACATTCCCATTCAACTGAACAATGTGCAGCCAGAAAAATCAATGTCAATTACTCCTATATTTTTTAACACAAAGTTTTACTTTGATCCTTTTTTATTCAACAATTTTTTTTTGAAATGTCGTCATTAGGTTTTTGGGGAAGTTGATAGATAAATTTTCATTAACGATTGACGATGCTTACGATAACCTTAAAACATTTGCAATGTTTCAGAGCGTTCGGTTTTGCATTTTTTTTTTCAAAAATCTGGGTGTCTAGGATAATAGTATTAATTATGCAAATTTTTGAGATAACGTGTTTAAATTGTTGGTGGGGATGAACAGACAAATTTTGTTTGGCTTTTTTCCATCTGCACGATATTTCCAAAATCGACCTATTTTATATATGTTACATTTTATTGTTTTAAAGAATTAACTCTGGAATGGGATAAAAACTTAATTATGTTCAAGAAAATTAACGCAATATTTAAGAGAAAATGCTGAACGAAAACAATAGAGAATTAATTGAAGGAGAATTCAGAAGAACAACAGCGAAGCCGCGTAAATATTCATTTTCATATTTTATTCTAGTTTATATACCTTTTTTCCGCTTGCTTTACTGCCACGATTCGTCCTCTACATTCGAAGTTTTATTAAGAAATAAAACTGAATGAGATGCGTGTATCTATTAAAACATTTGCAGTTACGTATTATACAGAATTTTTTAAATCAAATTTTATAGATAAGTAATTAAAAACAGACGTCGATCGTTAAATCACCGGTAAAGAAACATTTACATATATAAAATACCATTAACCTGGCCATATTATGTTATAAATTTCTAAATAAATTAAACAGTATAGTTAATTAATATTTTATTGTCCTAAGTACACATAAAATGTCAAAGTACTCAGTTTGGTAGTTTCCGAGATTATCATTATAATAACTTTCAATAAATCGACAGAAGGAAATGGGAAATCCACATTTGCATAGTCCACGAAGTCCACGAACTGTGAAACTCCGAGGAACATAAATTTAGATCACTTATAATATTTCCCTTAGTGTCTTTCGGAAAATAAAAATGTACACTGAGTATTATTTAAAAATTAAAATATTCTCAAATTTTTCGGTTTATATTAATGCATCTGAAATTCGCGTCTTTTTTGCAGACTTGCTTTCAGAAATGTTATCACAAGTCATGCCGAACTGTACGCATTTTATTAGGAAGTCTACAAAAACTGGACTTAATGACATTTAGACGAGAGGACAAGAAGTTTCAACTTTTACTTTTAAACGTGCAGTGTTTGATCTTGTTTCGGTTCGACAGTTAGAGACATACATGTATTCGAAATATTAAGGACAAAATCAAAAACGGTTATGACATATATGCAGTATTTATCAGTACTTATTTATTTGTATGTAAAGTGTACTTTTTTACAAAAAATTCTCTAAGGTTGTTGTTCCACGCAAGTTAAATATTTTTTATAAATTTTATCTCTAACAGCAATAATTTGCAATTTATTTCAAAAATCATTTCATACCGTTAGCGAAAGTGCTCTCACCGTTTCTATCCACTCCCGGTAACTGTAATTATTGCTATCAGAGTCAGTTAAATTTAAAAAATTAGAAAGAGGAGATATCTACTTGCCGGTAACGGCATGAAGTGCATATTTTCTTCATTTGCATACTTATCACTTGCAAACTCAAGGTAATATTATGTTCTATTTTAATTGCAATTTTTTGAGAACTTGAAAACATACATAGAAGTGTAATATAGAAAGACAAATGGAACTTGTTATTAATTTTTAGAGTCTAATTTGATTTTTGTAAAAAATTGCAAAACGTGATCACAATGCGGTATGATGAAAACAGAATTTATAAATAATGAAGTTATAATTGTTATAAATTAACTAAAACACTTTCAAAGACAATAAATTACTACATTACAGCTATTGCATGTTTACACCTGTCCATGATCATTAATAATTATGAACGGTTAAAAATAATTGCACTTTCTATTTATCAGTTTTTGGATTTAGAACGGCCCTGCAAAAATAGCAGATAATAAATGTTCTAAAATGGCTTATTTAAACTAAATAAACTGCTATTTTTGCTTTCCGCAACGAAGTTACGGAAATATTGTAATTGGGTCCAATTGACCAGTTTTGCGGTTTGCACAAAACGAAATGGTTGGTCTCCCGTTTCCATCAATGATCATCTGTCTGTCGTCAGTCTGTTTGTGGTTTTATTTGATACGGAATTTCCGAAACTACTGGATCAATTGTTATGGAAATTTGGCTGTACTTTAAGTATAATTAGTTAATAACGTCATGGCAAAAAATTTGCAAAATAAGTAAACTATATTTAAATTATACAAAATAATATATTGCTCTACTAATTATTGTGATTAATTAATCTGTCCTAATTTTTTACCGTATATATCAAATTTTTGTAAAAAATTCAAAATTCTGCAAAAGCATTTTATAACTTGTGTTATAAGAAATTAATAAACTAATTGCGCAGAAATGTACAACATGGTTTAAGGTGATTAACAGCCACGAAGATCGCTAATCAAAATTCGTTTATCCGTGATTTATTAATCCACCCCTAGGTAGGTTTTTGGGAAAAAGTAAAAATTGTACAACAAAATTTTACAATTCAACTTAAAAATCAAGAAACCGATTCTTTTGTTTATTCCTCCTAAAAAGTTTTAGGAATTCACGTCAAAAATTTGTTAAGTAGCTCATCCTTCTATTATGTTTGTAATTTCGCCACATATTGCAGTTTTTGAATGTATTTATACAATTAATGAATACTCAGTTTAGTTTAGTATTTAAGCCAAAAACGAATTGCTTGCCGACTGAAATTTTTAAGACACAATGAAACTATCAGAAATAAAAGAAGTAAACAGACTGTATGCTTTTCTCTAAAAATCTATTTACATCAATTTATTCAAACACTTTTAAAAATGGGTACTATTTCAAAAATAGTCTGTTGTGTTCCTTGACTGAGGATTCTCTGTTATGCATTAGATATCCAAAAAATTGGTCTAAGGTTATTTGGATATAACTTTCCCCGTTCCTGAATATAGTCGAAAAATGATAAATTTTAATTTTGGGAATTTAGTTTTTTTATGATAAAGTTGAAATAAAGATATGTGTAGAATGTGAAAGTACAGGTAAAGAAGCATGCATGCTCTGCGTATGTTTCAAATGAGTTTTTCCACAACAAAATTTTGTGATGATCAACATTTTAGCAGCAATTTGAATAGGTACAATTTAATACTGTTAATATTATTTTCAAATTTTCGAAAAATGATGTATTTTTCTTGGTTTGATTATTGATATTTCGTCTACAAAGTGACCGCTCAACTCACCTCTCCGTGAACTATGTTTCTGGAATTTCATATTATGTATCAAAGAGCAAGAAATATTAAACAATAAAAATTCTAATAGTAATAAAAAAAATGAAGGTACAGAAGTATATTATTTTATAAAAATTAAATAACATTTATTGGGCAAAGTGTTGAGGTAACGTGATCAGATTGTTAGTGGGGATGATTACACAAACTTTGGTTGGCGTTTTACCATTTACGAGTACACGATATTCTTAACTTAAATATCTAAAATTTGATCACAATCAGTCTTATAGTTTCGGAGATTATCAGTCTAACAAAAATCGACACAGACCGACGAGACACAGACGAGAGACAAACCGACGACAGACAGACGGAAATGGGAGACCTATTTTTTCATACCGTAGGGATTATGAAACGTCGAGAAAATATGAAATTAGCAAATTCGCCGGATGGATTCTATTACAACACTTCCTTATCTTACGCTTGGTAAGTAAAAGTATATGAAGTTATTTATACCAAGGCCTTCATCCCTGTAACACTGCTACTGTTCAAAAGCAAGGAAAGTTCGATGTAAATGTGTAGTTGTTTAGTGTGCAACAAAATAAATTACTGACAACTATATAAAAGGTTTCTTGGTACACTCTTTAGAAAATTATATCACCTCCCTGTGCTTTTTTGATGTAGATTATAAATGTATAATATAGAGGACGTTAGTAAGTGACAAATGTATTTATTTCTCAAACCCAATGAAATCAACAGTACAAATATTCCATAATATGTGTATATTTTTTCCTCTAAGGATATTTTATTTCATAAATCGATTTTTTACAGATACGTTTTCCATTGTAATCAACACGCCGGCGCTACCGGGGAAGATTATCTAACACCAACACAACGAGTCCATCGGCAAGTAAAGAAACTTAAGCATCTTTTGCAACAGGCAAAGAAGGATCTTGACGAAAAGGATAGTGAAATTTTGAAACTAACCAAAGAAGTAGTAGAGTTGCGTCTGTATAAAGCGGCTCTTAACTCCCCGGAAGAGAAATCCAATTCTAGTGATGCTGTGACTGTGAGGGAAAACACTGATGAGCAAATGACACCAGATGTGGATACTGTGGATAAAAGTGTGTTACAAAATGAGATGACAAATTCTTATACGGATTCCGGCCATTTTGAAGACTATACGAATTCACCAATCAGTTCCAAAGACAATGAACTTTTAACAAGAAGCGTGAGTTTTGTTCCATTTTCATGACTGTTTCGATTTAGTTATTTCTGTTGTAGCCACTAAAACGAAAAGTGGAAGTAGCTGATAAGGCTATTAATGCAGCTTTGGGTGACAACAGCGAACATACAAATTTAATTGTAGAATACGAGAAGAGACTGCAAGAACTTGTGAAAACCCATGAGGAGGAATCTTATCAAATGAAACAAAAACACAACGATAAAGTTGAAGAACTTTTGCAGAGAATTACCGAAATTAATAAACGGTATTGGGAACTAGTTCCAGAACTAGATGTAGCTAAAGATAAAATTAAAGAACTGGAAAACCAGTTGGAAGATGCATGTCACAAACTTTCCCAACAAGAAGATAAACAAAAGCAAACGTACCTTGAAATGTATAACAAAGGTCAGGAGGCGGAGAGGTTAGAGCGTGAACACAGGGTATAAAAACGTGTTGGTGTTGGTTTTAGTTACCTATGGATCGATTTTGTAGGTGATGGAAATAGCAAGGCAAGGTCCTAGTAGAATATCTGTTCCAGAACTATTAGAAGAACTACAAGTAACAAAAAATGAATTGGAAAATATCAAGGTGAGTGCGTGTTGACCAATATATAATTTTTCGAATTACATATGGGTTTATTAACAATATAATTTTGTCATCTACTCGAGAAGTAGAGAAACAGGGAAGATATTAATTTTTAATATCTGCTAAATCACCGTGAATTTTTTAGGATTTAGAGTACGCCTCAACTTCTAACAACTTACAACCTTTACTTAGCGCTAAAGAGGCTCTTTCGTTGTGGGTACTTGGTGCTAGAAAGGTAATTGTACCAATACCCCAGAATTAGGCACTCTTTCTTGCATGGGTGGCATGTTGTAGATTGTAGCACTAGTTTTAGATTCCAAAAAACATGTCAATTTATTTACCAATTTTTTTTTTCAGGCTATGTATAGGCAGTTGATCGAAGCGAAAAACAAGAGCAAAATTGATCCAGAAATTACTCTGCAATTCCTCAAATCAGCCATTTACTATTTTTTGACTGATAAAGAAAACAGTCAAGGTCACCTAAAAGCTATTCAGAGCATTCTGGGCTTTACTCCCAACGAAATAACTAGCATAGATAAAGCTAGGCTATCCTAATTTGATAATTTTCATTTCGTAAAACTTGGTGCCTAAGATTACGTACTTCTTATATTATATTATAAAATATGTATCTGGCACTATTTTATTTGGGTGCACAATTATTTCTAGTTATATGTTGACGCACTTTTAGTATTAAAAAATGGTCCGGAGCTTATAAATAAGCGAAGAAAAGTGATATGTAGGTTAAAGAATTATTTTTTCAAACGTAATTGAGCAAACACCAAATTGTTAGAGGTGTGGAACCGCTTTATTATCGACATAATTTTTTTATGCTAGGTAGGTTCCTCTAAGACCTCAATGTTTTTGGTGTCGGTGTAGTGTATCGTGAAAGATTGCCTTTTTTCTGTGACGTGAGAAATTAGCGAAACTAAAATTTTGGTGTTATTATTTTTTCAAATGTTGCATTAAATCTGATATTAGCGAATATACTTAAATAGAAGCAATTACTTTACTCATGGGTCTCTATTGTTACCAAATAATATTCTAAAGTAAGGACTTCTGAAGGGACTGGTGCAATTTTGACGTAATCAAAGCATGTACCTAAATGCATTTATGCGTCTTTTTTTGTTATATAGACCGACTGTTATATTTATGATTTTATTTATTGGTGTTCAAACGTTGACAAATAAAGTAAATCATCTACTTCATGAAACGTGTGTTTTTTAACCTTCCAAGTTTTTTTTTAAGTTTTAGAACAATGAAATGATTTTGATATTGTGTAAATTTATGTTATGTGTAACTAATATATTTGATAACTTCTTTTTAGAATGTACAATTATGATAGATCAATTCAGGATACCTACATATTTAGTCGGCAGCGTATAAAATACATGAACAATATATTTTACACCAACAAAATTTCGTGGTGATATTGCTGTTTTATATACTAAATGAATTGTACAGAGTTTGTCGTTGCATATAATTTTTAAAACAAATTTTAGAAAAGATACTAGGCTATTAATAATATATTAATAGATAAATCAATAAATAATTGCAGATGGTACTATGACATATTTCTCTCATAGTCTTTTCTGATAAACTCTGTAATTTGTGGTATTCACAAAGAAAAGTGATTTCTAGATTCATAGTTACATTCTTATTCAGGGATATCAAAGATAACTTTCAACTGTGAAATTTTGTTTTTAAAACATTGAATTTTCTCAATATATGTTAAGTTTTGAGAAAATGTATTTTTTGGTTACGAGTTAAAGGATCTGGGTAAACAAATGGTCAACAAATTGTTGAAGCTCCGTTGTCGATTCTCTAAGTTATCAAGGAGCTGATTAGTGTGTTATAGCTTATAGCAAAATTCATCCACTTCAGAAGATTTGATTTCGGTTTTTTGTAGCTAGTTTGTAGTGTAGTAGAACATGTTGCACATTGTCTTTTTGTTCTTGCAATACTGTATTTGTTTAATTAATTTAGCGATTGGTTGATTATAAATAGGAAACTTCTGCACCAGATAAACCAGAACGCCTGGTAACACGCTCTATTTTTTATAAAGGTTACAATAATTAATATCAGAACACTTTGAACATTTTCCACACAAATTGCATAATTAGCCATGATTATTGTTGATAGTAATTTCCTATTTAAAAATTCTTGAAGTCGCTTACTGTGTTTGAAAATGAATTGACTTGATGTGTAAATTTGGAGGAACTATATACCGGGTGTCTGAATAATGGCGGATTAACTCTCCGCTACGCTTTTAACCATCAACTGGTGAGTATGGGAAAAATAGTAAAAAAAATCCTTCTCACATTTTGGTGGACTTACAATGATTTTAAAACTGGTTCTTTTGCTACGTTTAACAACTCAACAACTCATTCATTATCACAATAATTAATAATAACACTTTTAGTTAATATTTTTCTCGCCCATAATCATGTTTAATTACCATTTCAATTAGAATGCACAAAGATATGGCTGCGTTGTTTTTGTAATAATTTGATAAAACTCCATTTGACAACAATGTTTGCCTGATACATTGATTAAATACATATGTATTTAATCAATGCCTGATATAAAGCGAAGGTGGATTTCAGTCACCATCGTTACTAAGAAACCAGAAAGTAAGCCGGCGGTATTCACGCATTAGGTTTGTGCTTGTGCTGTGTTGCCAATTTTACTTTTATAAAATTACTTTTGTTTCGTAATCTACATCATAAAAAATTTTATTATTATTTTTTTGAGACTCTCGAAACTCCCGTATAAAACGTACTGAACAGTTAATCCGCCATTTTCCAGAGACGCGGTATATTTATACAAAAGATTTATCCTTGAATTTGTGTAATTTCTTTTGTTAATTAATTTATATTCTCTATAATACCAACCTCAGAAATTTGGTCGTTTGCATTTTAAAATAATTTTTAAAGCATATAAAGCCCTTCTGTATACGAGTTCAATAATAGACAAACGTACGAAACGCTTCATCCCTAATAAACAAGCCACAACAATTTTTTGTGCACCTATAACGACCTCTACATGTCTACCGACCTTATAGTAGTGTAATAATTCTTGTGTACCACTAATGAGATAAATATCTATTTTTCTTTAAATTTAATTAGTATCTTTTATTCTGATTTTAAATACAAATCTATGTTTGTAATTATTTTGTCATAATATTTTCATTTCAAGAATTTTTCTTAGTATGTTTGAAGTTTTTTGTTTTAAAGTATTTTTATTTTTTCTACAACATTACTGTGAATTAAAAAAAACCAGAGAAGTTTCTGAGATTATATGCCGTTTTTGATGAAAATATAAAAATTTAGTCGTTAGAGGCTATAGTGTTTACCTACATGAATTTTCAGTTGATCAAAATGTGCACATTTTTATATATCTTCCTTTTTAATTAGTTATATGTATATCCAAGCTTATGTCATATTTTTAAAACAGTTCGTTTCATTGATTTATGAATGACGGTAGGTTCAAAAAAAAAGGGGGTGATTATTTCCCATTTTTTGTAGTGGGGGCATATAACCTTAGAGAGAATCTGGAAGACTATACTTTGACTAATGGCAAAATTCGTTTTCTTGTGTCTACGTCACTTGGACACGGGAAATAAGCCGAATATTCGCACGTTATAATAGTCACTAATTATTATTATTAGTTTCCGTATGCAGATATTTCCGTTCTTCATATCGCTGTTGTATGATTTTAACTACTGCGAAGGAGTATCTCGATCACCATAGGATTATACTTTTTTTAGAAGTTTTTTATGCGAAATAATGTAAAAAAATCTTGCATAAATTAAAACAAATTATCTGGATATTTTTCTTTGCCTGTACAGGTTAAAATATCAACATACAAATGGGTAACCGCCTGGAAGATGGAGCCATTAGGTCTGAAACTAAAAGTTTATACAGAATATTATTACGTTTTAAAAGTGATCATGTAAACGCGCCAAAAAACTTTGTCTTCAGTTTCGTAAGTAATAGAGTTAAGGACACGAGTTCATTAACAAATGGTAAATGGTAGTAGAAATATATTTTTGTAAGTTTCCGCGTTTTTATGGTAGAATAATTTGTACTATTTATCTGATTTACTGTAGCTGCAGGTGTATTTACAAAAAACCAGTTGAAAGCACTTCCTAGGAATCTTTTACTACATTGTCTTTTTTTAATACTGGCCATAGGGATTTACGTCCCAAATAGTAGGAGGTACTTTAATATTTACATACATAATTAATATATTTACCGAAAACAATTTAAGGACGGAAATAAAATAAATAACTGGAAAGAATTAACTGTAGCCAAAATAGGAAAATAAATCAGTGAGTTTCACATCTTTCCGGTTTTGAACGATCAAGCGTAAATTGAAGTAAGTTTACCCGGCTTATGTTTGCAATTATTATGACTGGACAGGCACTTGCGGGCTTGTGTGCCAAAACTTTTTTCCGTACAGTAAAAAGTAGAATTCTACGGATCGGTGCTGCATTTATTCATATTTTAGCAACTCACTAACAGAAGGCAGCATCTCCCGGGTCGTTTTGTTCTGACTTTGACCAGGCAGATATTTTGCCTCCAGACGGCAACCTTAATGATTTTTATAGCAGGAATTTTCAAGTAAAATTTAGCAAAATATTAGACCAGTATTTTATAAATCAAAATCAGTTCATTTTATTGCACATAACAAAATTCATGGTAGTTGTTGTCAGGTGGTTAGGATTATCACGCTGGGTCATGGTCTCCCGGTCTAGCAATACGTAGCGAATTTACCTGTTTTTTACTTGCCGAGCGTAAGGTAAGTTTTATTACAATTCTGTAATTATTTTATTATGTATGATAAAATGAACTGAAACTGATTTATAAAATATTAATCAACTATTATTCTACCCAATGTCGACTGAAAATCCCTGCTAGAAAACTAACTAACACGAGTAACACGACCCAAAGTTTTTAGCAGGTAAATCCCTATACCCTGCGTGAAAAACAGACATTGTATGAGATTTATAGATTAATTGAATATTTTTGTGAATTATAATACCTAAGTATGTATTTTTGATTTTAGGAATTTATTTTTTTTTGATAACTCCTATAAATTAAAATAAAGGTATGTAGCTAATGCCAAAGTAAAGGTAAAGAAGAGTGCTGTATATATGTTTCACGTGAGTGTTTCCTATTACAAAATTTTGTAATGATACTTCATTAACATTTTTACAAGGACACATATATCAATTTCTTCTTATTATTTTTTATTAAATTTATTATTAATTAATTATTTTATTATTATTTATTAATTTGGGTAGGTTCAGTGTCCTACTAATAATAATATTACTGTATTCTCAAATTTTCGGCAAAATGGAATGCGTCGTTCGTAATCTATACTTATATAATAAAGCTGAAGCTTTTGTTTATTTGAACACGCATATCTCAGAAACTACTGGTTCAAATTCAAAAAATCTTTTTGTGTTGGATAGTCCATGTATCATATCTACATATAGGCTATATAACATCACTCTACGATCATTAGGAGCGAAGTAGCAATGAAAAATTCGGAAAAACGGGAAAATTATTCCTCCTTTGACAGCTTCCGTTGCTTACGCTGCTTAAACGGTTAAAGTTACATAAAAATCATGTATGACGAAATTGTTCCCCTCTAAAAGTTCTAAAGAAAAGTCCGCGACAGCATATGTCTATCTTTTAAGGTCGACTCAGTATAACCTTTTTTATGGTAATGAAATTTGTTCTAGAATAATAATGTATTATGTATAAAATTCTCGCGTCACAGTGTTTGTAACCAAACTTCTCCGAAATGGGTTGACCGATTTGTATGAAATTTTTTATGTATATTCGGTAGGTCTGACAATAAGTTGTAAACTATTTTTTAAACCCCTAAGTGATAAGGGTGGCCCACCCTAAAAAATGTTTGTCTATTTTTTAGACAAATTTTTTTATTTTTATTTTTTAAAGATTTGGCATCAAAAAATACACATAACCCTAAATTTTCACCTTTCTACCACCAACCCCCATTTTTTAATCGTCTATAAAATAAAAATCAATTGTTCCTGTTAGTCTCGCTAAGACTCAAAAACGGCTTGACCGATTTGAAGATTTTTTTTATATTACGGGGATGGTTTATACATAAAAAATAAGGATAACTTAAAAGAACAGTTAAAAAATAAAAAAATTCTAAAAATTTTGAATAACTGAC